CGAAAATCCGTGCGCGCGCAGGATGTCATCCATAAAATTAAAAAAGTGTGGCCTAATAAAGTGACTGGTAGACATATGAAAGATTTACTCATTAAACAGCATTCCTCATAAGATACAATGTATATTTTCAAAATAGAACTTGTTTGTTGGTTATTCGGCACCGTAACTAGCTTTGGTATCCTTACCTGGTAGTAGTGTATTATCAAGAGAGAGAATAAATTATGCTGAGTATAAACTTAATGGACATGTTTGTATTTGGATTGGCAGATTTAAATCAGACTGGATGTGAAGTGCTGCCTGGAACCCATGCATACATGCTTTTTCATGTTTAATTATATAAACTGAGGTGATCGAATGGTTGTTCTTTTAGTTTTTAACAACAGGTTTTAGTCTGACTTAAAGGCACGTACACATCAGTTCAAGCTTAGACTCAGATTGTAAGGACGTGTACACATCAGTTTCAACTGAGACTGAAATTAGACTAATTCTGTTATGTCAGCAGAGGACCAGATTGCTGAATAAAACAAGTATTGGGGATGACTTGTGATATTTAACATTTATAGCTCCATTAGCTATAAAAAAGAATAAAAGAAAAAACAAAAATTTGAGATAAATTATTACAGAAGTTTGTAAAGGTGAAAAATGGTAGTCAGTTTCATTTGTTTCAAAGGTTTGGGTATGTTGTTTTTGTTAGATGAATGAGATGAAGTTGACATAAGGAGCAAAAGGAAAAGTACTGAAAATGTCCTCATAGTTTTACAGGCCAATGATTTGCACTGTTTTACAGCTTCTTTCTAAACCAGGCACTGAAGTCTGAATTAAGTGATGTCAGTCGGTCATTTTTCATTTTTTTAGACCTGTTACAGATGTTTCTTGCTAATTGTACCTGAACTTTAAGTAGAGTCATGTTTATGTCTGATTCCTATAACAGCAACAACAAACATGAGAGGGCATGTGTAAGTTGTCCATACCTGGCTCTCTAGCAGCCCGTCTATTTAATGGACACCTTAAGATAAGAGATTACACTAAGCCAAATACTAACTGCTATTTCTTCAGATAAGGGAGCTCTATTTAATCAGACTTACAGGTGAAGATTTGCATTTTTGCAAACAAAACCAAACAAAGAAAATAAAATTAATTTGACAGTAAATCTTTTTTGGATATCACCTTAGTTATGAGGTCAGTGTTTTTCATTTTGTTATTCGTTGGAGTATAATTGTCTTCCCTATTAGACACAAATACGTCCTAATTGTCTGAACAGAGCAATAATTACTACCTAAATGGCATTCCCTTTATTACGTATTTTTTGTTGCTGCTATGGGTTATAGAATGTTATGTAAATATTTGTAATGCAGCAAAATTGATTATTGATATATATATAATATAAGCACACTTAACAAGCTAATAATGACTGCAGCATAACCTGACTGTATATTTAATTGGAAATGCTTTAATCCATTGTTCATTGATTCATCCTCCTATTCCCCTGGCTCTGATGGCACCTGCCCGACCACATTACGTCCATTGATTTTTTTCTCCCAATTCTGTGAATCTGTAGAACGATTTGGATGCACACAATGCTTCTAAATCAGTGGCTTCCTGCTGCAGATATAATGTAGTTGGCATTTTGTTTCTATCGTTGCAGAAAATGGATGAATTTTTTCGGTGTGGTGAATGTTTTAATCGGTTGGATGTTATTTTTGACACATGCGTTAGCATAACTGTTAGAAGCAGGGTTATTATATTTTAAAGACATGATATGAGAACAATAGAAACTGAACAAAAAGGGACCTGCATAGCCATGATTTGTATATTCGATCCACATAAGTTAAGACTGAGAGACATACAGAAAGGGACATTGGATCTGACATTGCTTTAAAAGGGTTTAGAATGTCTATATGTAATTCTCAATTAAGAATCAAGGAAACTGGAAAATTTCCATCGGATGTGACGACTGTGATATAATCCTTTTATGCTGATGGCCACTTCTGCTGCGATTTACTCTTTAGTATGGAATGAATGCCTGCACATTTGGAGGTCTGATTGTAAAGTAATTTAGAAAGGAGATTGTATTTTTAGTGACTAGAGATGAAGATAGCAATATAGTCCAAGATTTTCACTAAGAATCATCTTATAATGGATGGGATGGAATATGATCGGATCAATACTAGTACTTGCTCTGAATTCAACACGTCAGTATGAGCAGCTCGAATAAATTCTTGCAGTTGAGGTTCCGCGAACGGTTGCATCGAACAAATTTCTATGGTTACACACCAGGTAATCTGATCAGTTATAGTGAATCAATTTCTTTGATTTATATGTTGTGATTTACACACCTATTATATAATTATGCTAATCCATAACTAGGATTTGGAATCCCAGTGCAATTAAGGCACAATTGAAATATCAAAAATCTTCGTACACAATCTTATATGATGAGCAATGCTTATCTGAGACTTAATTAAGTTATTATATTTTGTAAGTGATAATGTACATGGTAAGGGACCACAATACCATTACTTCATGATAGAAAAAAAATGTCCTGTTGCCATAAAATAATGATAATCTATGTTGTGACATCTTGTCATAGCCAGGAGACAGATATATTATTGCTAGACTGCCAGCTAGACTAAGCCTGCTGTAAAATAATAATAATAATAATAATATTGATAATAACAAATCTAATATCTAATATTTACATTAATGAGTACAATTATTTATCTGTAATAGGTGCTAATGCAGTTTATATTCATGAATAGAGTGTAGAATTATTAGCTTATGATCACTTCATCACTTCTCCTCTCCGTCCAAAAAAACATTTTCCATATGGATTATTTTCTCCAGGTCCTGAGAATACCAGCTAGGTGACAAATTAAAGATTTGCAAGTTGCGTTATGTCTTATGATATGATTAAATATGATTTTTCATATTGCTCATAGTAAGAGAAAGGATCACAGGTCTAGACAAAGGGTTATGAGAATTATGTTTTCCGATGTAATGGAGCGTTCTGCATTGGTGAAGATATTCTCCAGGTTATCACTCATCCAAAGCCTCAAGACATATTATGACTTGAATATACTTTTTTGCCTTTTATATCTTGTGTAATTTCCAGTTCAAATAGCAGTAACATATAAGTCTGAACAGCACTTTGAAAGGTCGCGGCTTCATATTAAAGAAATAAAATGATGTGTTGCTTTCAACAGGAATTGCTTGTAACTATAGAAACATGCTATGCCTGCCAGACAGTTTTTCTACATAATATGATCATAACATTAAATATCATGCTGTTTAGTTAGGGGAACAGCTGTCAGCTGTGTATGTCTTGGAGACCATAAACCAAGAGAGGGAGTAGAAAAAGATGATAATAGATCATTTGCTCTTTTGAGGAGTATGCCTGAGTAAGGAAATCTGCTGTATTTAACATTTCATTTGAAATCTTCACTCCCTTTAGTTATTATATTGCATTCCATTTATTGTTGTCATAATTATTATAATTGATAATTTGTCTAACATGCATTTCACTAATTTTTATGTTAAACTTTGCCTTCTTCAGTAGGTGGGGACACTGATTAAATAGTAAGGAACAAGGGGTATTTGTTCAAGTATGGTTCAGTGAAGAACAATAACAACAGACATCTGAAACAACAACAGAAATACCAATAATTATTTATACTATTTTTAATGCAGCTATGATCCTATACTGATCAGAAAATGAATTCTGATTTAATGCCTCAGTTCACATCAGATAATAGAGAAGAAGGAGGTGAAAAGAAAATATTTTACCCACCCTGAATTTTTTACCCCAACTTGGTGGTTTTGAAACAGTCTTTACTCCCTGTTATTCAAGTCTCATTTATTTTTTCAGATGAACAAGAGAGGGTACAAAAGAAGACATTCACTAACTGGATTAACTCCTATCTTTGTAAGGTAGGTAAAGTGTTATCAGTAAAGATGAAATATAATTGTGGCATAAATTAAGTCTAAAGTCATGCTAACACTCACTAATTTAGCCAAATGCTAAAATGGACTTTAATTTTCTAAACAAAATGGGGTTAATTTGATTTGTTTAGGTCAAATTTAAACCATTTGGAGAAAAAAGTGATGAAAAAGTAGTGATTTGGCTGCTATCCCAGTCATTAATGGGGGGGGGGGGGGGTTACAGAGATGTTGATGGATTCAGTATTTTTTCTTATGCCTGGTGTTTGTAAGCTATAATATATTATGATTGATGATATTAGTGGTTGTATTTGAATATCCCAGGGAACAAGAATCAATATTTAAAACCACAGTAACTGATATACGTATGCCAGTATACATGTGTTACATGTCACAGTATTTATAATGCACCATTTGTAATCTTCTGTTTACATTTTTTTCCTTACAGAGGAGACCTCCCATAAAAGTGAAAGATTTATTTGAGGATTTCAAAGATGGTACCTGTTTACTTTATTTATTGGAGGTGTTGTCTGGAGAGAAAATGGTAGGTTGCTGGAACAGAGTGTGTGGGTGAATTTTCACAAAAAGCAAAGTGATAGGGGAGAAAATGCTCACTTTTGCCCAAGACTCTTTGTATGGAAATGAAACTGTGTGTAATAGGGCTTTCAGTAGGACATGATTATTTCAGTAATTGTTGGAGCTAGAAGGAAATCATATGTATTAATTAACCTTGGTGCAAATCACATGCTTTGATGTTTATGATATTATGTGGTTGTTGACTATTTCAGAAGTGTTATTTTGAAAAGGTGCATCTTTCTTTTCTTTTCTTTTTTTTTACTTCTCTGGAATTAAATTAATCTGGATTAAAATTAATTTAATTAAATTAATCAGATTAATGATTAACATGGCTAGCTCTTATTCAAGATGTATCAGGAGCAATCAGTAAAACGGAATACAATACTATATGTGTAAATATCACTGTGCAAACAATCAGTTTTCCCAGAACTTTACTTAGAACATGTACATTAATCAATTGTTTTCCAGGCAATTGAGAAAGGCAAGCATTGCAAGCGTCTGCATTTTCTCAGTAATGTCACCACAGCTCTCAAGTACTTGGAGTCCAGAAAGGTAAACATAATTATGATAATATCATCACATATGCTGCATTTTGTATTGAAACAAGATATTCATAAACCTGTGCAAAATATGTTTTTGTTTCTCATTAGTAATATTCAGTAATTGTTACCTTCTTATATATTGGTTTGCTAGTGTGGTTTTGATGTATCAGTAATACCTGTACTCAAGAATTAAATAATTTAAAAATCATTTCTCTATTTTAGATTAAGCTAGTAAACATAAACCCCACAGACATAGTAGATGGCAAGCCGTCCATTGTATTGGGTCTTATGTGGACAATCATTCTTTATTTCCAAGTAAGTTTTTTTTTGTGAGATAAGATGTAAAAAAATATATTACCCATAATTGTTAATACACTGATTTATTCTGAGCATTTATTTTTCTTGGAGATTCATTTGTTAAGTGTGAGAAACATTACTATGAAAAACATGACAACTGCAAAATTAATACAGATTAGCGTTTAAAAAAATGGATAATTAAAAAAATTTCAGATTGAAGAAAATGCCAAATTACTGGAACAACTGGAGGCCAGTCTGGCAGACATGGATGGGGAGCCCCCAGAGAAAAAGATGTCCGCCAAAGACAGGTTTAAAATGGGTGCTAAGAAAGCTCTGCTGGTGTGGACTAAACACACTGTTGCCAAGTAAGCCATTTTACTTGATAAAATAATATGTATTAAGCTATGAAGTGTATATATATCAGTATATCATTCAAGGCATGCCTGGCATATTACCCATATATGAAATGAAAATTGTCCTTTAAATTTGATGTGGTTCTGATCAAATATATCAATCATTCAATAATAATCCACCTTTAAAGAATCTTGACTGTCCGTAAGTCAAGTGTATCTCTTTGCCTTTGCAAGCAAAATGACTCAAATTTCATTATTTGATGTACTTGTTTTCTAGGAAAGTTGAAGTGGAAATTAAAGATTTTGGGCCCAGTTGGAGAGATGGGCGGGCATTTAGTGCCATGGTTCATTCTATCCGCCCAGAATTAATTGACATGAATCTACTGCCCAACAAATCAAATAAGGAGAATTTGGAGACAGCTTTCAATGCTGCAGAAGAACATCTTGGGATCCCGAGGTTACTTGACCCCGAAGGTTAGTTTTTGGCCCACATTGCCAAAATATGTGACATTGACAAATTTTCTTTTTGCATACATTTTAAACTACTATTTATCAAGCAACATTATGATAGTTTTAAAAATAATATATACTTTGATAAGTATTTTAAATTATATTTTGCCAAATGAAAATAAGATTAAGCAGACTGAGTTATGTAAAAAAAAAACAACAACATATTTTGCTCTTGATATGTATGAATATTCAAATTTTAAGCTTAATTTTCATTTTCTGTACCTAGATGTGGATGTCTCAAAGCCTGATGAGAAGTCCATCATGACATATGTTGCTCAGTTCCTCAGTAAATATCCAGACCCCAAAGCAATAGGAGAAACTAAAGAACCCGAGGTAGTGCTCTGTTTTCATTATGAGTTATAATCAGGGTTGAGATGTTTTGGGAGCCAAGAATATCATTTTTGAGATTGATGCAGATCTGCAATTAAAACTGGAAGGGGGAGGGGTAGTTCTGGACCCCACTTTATATTTTTAGATTTTTAGACGATAAATGACAGTCTCATCCCTGTATAATTAAGAAGTCCAAAGTGTTATCATAAATAATAAACATTAGTTTTTAACACTTTTATAGCTAAGCTAGCTTAGGGGTTCATATATATATATATATATATATATATATATATATATATATATATATATATAAACATAATCTCATCTGTTTCCACATACCTATATGTATGTTTCCACATACATACATCTAATTTTTCTCTCCAAATTTTTGCAGCTACGTAAGCATGTTGAGCATGCCAGAATGGTAGCAGATGTTGAAAGTCCAGAATTCCGTGATTTAGCAGACTGGCTGGCCCAGACAGACGATAGTTTGGAGATTATAAATGAACCAATCCAGGACTTTGAAGATGAATTCAATGTAAGATAATGACTTTGACATTAACACATGCCAACACTATAATGAAAAATCAGTTGATCAGAGAAAGTGATGATCTGACGGTTCTGATTTGATACAGAATTTGATTTAAATTCCTAATGAAGATAAGTTTGGTTGTTTTTAGATAGCCAGTATTGATATCAAGAAAAAGAAAGAAAATAAGAAGGAAGGGACAAATTTGTTATTTTCATAATGTATTTTGTTTCAGCAATTCCTAGAGTTCAGAAAGGACTATGATAGCAGACATGCCATGTACGTTCAGCTCTGTCAAGCTCAAAACAGTTTATCAATATCTGAAGAGAAATGGCAATATCTACACACGCTGTGGAGGCAAGTCCACTCCAAGTACAGGAAATGGCAGAAGAAGCTGGACAGTCACCTCCCAGGGAAACTAGGGGACATAGGCGGCTGGTTGAATGACGCAGAGGAGATCATAGGGAGTGATGATGAATTACCAGAACAGCATGAAGAGAAGGTGAAGGTCTTACAGAAGAAACTGAATGAACACAGGGTAAGTGACATTACATACATGAACTGCAAATATAACTTTACCCCAGTTGTCATACATTTCTTAGAACATTGATACCAAAGTAAGGAAATAAATCAAGTTTTCGAAGCAAGTTTTAAAATTCAAAATTTGGTAATTGTATATTAGGGTGTATGAAGAGGCACAGAAACTCATTGTTGTCAGTGGGATATATTATGGTATTAAAATCGAATGAAGTTTCTTGAAGATGCATTATCGTAAGTCTCTTTTTTTTTATTCCAGGCCTTCTTTGAGTGCCTAGGTGCAAACAGTCAGGCATTTGGGGAAATAATGAAGTCAGGATTTTGCAATGGAAAGTTTATAAATCCTGAACATCTAGCTATGCTTGATAACCGTCTTCAAAAGGTTGTAGCCAGTGTGCAGACGAGACACAACAGACTTGAGTATGAGGAGATCAAATACAGATTGTTAGTTTTTCTTGTGGCAGCTGAAGCGAAATTAAAAGCATGGACTGTTAAAAATGGCCGTCAAGAGGATGTGGAACGGATGCTTCGGGATTATAATGTAAGGGAGGTTTTTGGATGGATTTGTTTCTGTCATGACTTGTGTTTCAATAAGCATTTAAGTATTTAATAGCCATAATTTCATGCATCTTTTAAAGCAATTGGCTGAACAATAAGTTACTTTACGATGAAATTTATATGCAGGTATAACTTAAATTGTCATATTTTCATATAAGAATTAAGTTAAATGTGTTTTTTTTAGGAATTTGTCCATGGTAGACAGCTATTTCAGCAATATGATAGAACTTACACAGAAGTTAAGAGAATTTCAGAAGCTTATATGAATGATGAAACACAAGGTAGGCTATTCATACTCATAAGGTCTTAGATTAGAGTTTTTTTTTTTTTTTTATTTGTCTGTGTTGCCAGAGGTGGACAAGAAAATGGCAAAATGTTTTTTTGGTACAATGTCGACCTTTCACCTATTTAAGTTGGTGTAGAATAATAAACTTCAATATATAAAGACTTTCTTTCAAATTTTCAAGACAAATCAGAGATCCAGAAGATCAACAAATACCTAGAAGACGTCACAGCTAGATGGAAAAATTTGTCTGTAGAAATCCGTAGTGTGGAAACTGCCCTGCAGGAGGTCATCCAGTACTGGAAGCGCTATTCCGCCTGTGTTGACTTGCTACAAGTATGGCTGACAGATGCTGAACAGATGCTGTCAAGACCTCCTGATGAAAAAAGGGTGAGTGCTTTGTAACTCATTGACTAAAATATCAGTTTATTTTGAATCATTCTGAATAACTTAAAAAATATAACATTTTGAATTAAAATAAAAAAGACCCACAACCCAAATGGCTATTTACACACCTGCTTGAAAAAACTGTGACTTCTGTGACTTCAATTTTCTTACCTTAATCAACTGGCTCAGAAACAATTGTTTGTTGTTTACTTTTATATCATTTAATTCATACTTGTATTCTCTCTATTATAGGAATTCTTCAGAGACCTTGATAAATGGCAGGAGAAACATAATATACTCAACGACGCCAGTAACTTCCTCATCGAAATGTGTCAACCAGATATAGCATCAGAAATTAAGCAGGAACTTCTGCTAATGAACAGAAGATGGAAAGACCTGTTTGAAGAAGTAAAACAATACTTGCACTATGAGGCTCTAGAGCAGACACGACAGGATTTCACAGACGGAGCACAGAAATACAGAGGTTGGATACAGATGTGTGAGGATCTTCTGGGGACACGGCTCGATTGCACACATACTGGGATAAGACAATACTTACAGCAGCTTGATGTAAGCATTCAATTTCATTCTTTATAAATTGTAAAGTTTATACTCCACTAGTCCCTTGAAATCTGTTTCTCAAAGTTCAAAATGCAGTAAGAAAATAACAATGAATTTTTGTATCATTTCTTGGATGCCTGAATTGTTTGAGTCAGATTTAACTTTTTACTATTCTTATGTGTAAATTGATATTACACTCTAATGCATTTGTGCTTTTTTTCAGACCATGGTATCCAATATGGAGCAGATGGAGGTTGAGTTCAAGACACTGTCCAAGATGGCACAGGCTCTGGTGAAGGACAGCACACAAGAAGAAATCAATTTCATGCTGGGAACAATGAAAGACTTCAAGGACAGGTAAAATATCTTTACAAATGAGTGACAAATGATTAGGATCGTAGTAAAGCTTGTATTGTATTGTTAATTTGATATTGTATGTTGTCACCCTGGTCATAAAGTTTTGCTCAGAATGGTGTTTCTTTGAATTTGTTAATTCTCAATGCTTTTGAACTATTTTTACAATTAAAAATTCAATGACAAGTTAAATCAAGTTTGAATGAAGGTATCATACCCAAGATTTTTCTGCCAAATCAAATTTTTTTTGAAAATCGGCAATTTTCTTCTACTCAAGAATCAATGTTAGATTCAGAATTGCTCAATATCAAGATTCTTATCTGATAAAACCAAATTTGAATTCTTACATGCTTTTTGGGGGTAATATTTTTCCAGATTTGTTATCATCCGCAAGGAGATGCCAGAGAGGTTACGGGTCCTGAAGCAGCTATTGCCCAATGTAGAATCTCTGGAGACTGGAATCTCTGACCTGAGCCAGTGGCTGAACAATGGAGAACAGCTTCTGGCCCAGCACCACATTCCTAACACTTGCCAGGCACTGGAGGAGAGGGCAGAGCAACACAAAGTAAGGCCTTGTAGAAACCTGTAAATTTTTTGTATGTCATGCAATGCAAAACAATACAATATAGTACAATACAATGAATTTTATTTTAAGGTACGATTGAAATTTTACATCAGTTCTATAGCTAATTGCTGACATGAACAACTAGGTAATTTGAACCTTTTAGGAGCTAGGGTATTTATGCCTATATACACAGCATTGTTAATGGCTGCTTTACAATGCAAAAAATGCAAAACACTCTTTTTATATTTGGAACATGTCACTTTGCTTTTTAAAGCCCAGTCATGGCTGTGAGAAGCGTGACACTTTGTTGAACAGATGGAATATATCTCAAAAGCTAGACCTTATTCATTTGATATTTTGGCACTGTCACATGGTTTTAAACATGGTCCTCATGTCTTACAGCTGCAGTTTTGATTGATTCAAACAAAAGATGTGTGGGCTTACATGTGGGTTTAGGCGTTGGGGTAGGGGGAGTTCAGAAAAGGTAAATGTAGAATAACAATTAGCATTGCAGAGAAAGTGATTCTGCTATAGATAAGTGATTATGCCTTTTCAAATGATTTCAAATGAATCATATGTTTTCATGCACTGAAACTAGAGAAAACTATTGAACTTTATTTCAGACCTTCTTTGCGGAGATTACCTACTACAAGTCCATTTTGGAGAGTAAAAACAAAGTCTTTCAGAAGATTTTAAAGATGGATGTGCCATCTGTGAACTTCAGTATCCTTGAAGCCACTGTGACCTCACTTAACCAAAGATTCCAGGTATTTTAGTCCACACTAAATTAGATATTATTAATATTTTTAATAAGATGCAGCTTGTTTGGTCCTCAAAAGTTTCTAAAATAAAACCTGTGTTTCAATGTCTGATACCAATTCAGGTTGTTGTAAAAAAAAATTGCCTGTGATGCAGCTAAGCATGCAGGTTGATAGACAGTGATATAGTAATAATAATAATAATAATAATAATAATAATAATAATAATTTATGGAGTACAAAGAAATAGTTAACATTTACAGGCTCTCTCTCTACTATAGTTGATCTACTTAATCTTCTTACATTTTGCAAACTTTTATTTTGTGTTCAGGTTTGTGTTAGCCAGGCAAAAGACTGGGAGGGCCAACTCCAGTCCACACTCAGAAAATGGCAGCTTTTCCATCAGAAGAAGAAACCTTTAGAAGAATGGATACAGAAGGCCAAAGACATTTTGGAAGAAGAACTTGATGATGATTCTGAAGCTGAGAATATGATTGAGAAACATAAGGTATGGGTTTTCTGGACGTGTATCTGATATCAAAAGGATGTTTTTGTTTGTTTGTTTTTTTTTTTTGGGGGGGGAGGGGGGTGGCTCTTGATGAATTTCTATTTTTGTGTCAGCTTGTTTTAAGATGTGTAAGCAATAAAAATATGACATTGTTATATTTTCTTATTTGATATTGTATAATTTCAGAAGTAAAAATTTTCACAATAGAATGTAAAAAATATATTAGTTAAGTGTCATCATCTGAGTCATTTGTTCATGATTTTCTCAGGAATTCTTTGACCACGTGGATTCCCAGATTCTCCAGGGATTTTTAAGAGCTGGTCAAGACCTCTGCCAGCCAATGTCTGACACAGGTCGCCTGGAAATACAGAAAGTTATGGCTGGACTGCAAGCCAAGTGGAAGGTATTGAGACCATTATTAAGCACTCTTACTTTCTTTTTTAAGGAAAGTCATGAAAAAATATAGCAGAGATGGAATGGTTCATGTTGTAGTGGATTCCTTCTGTTTTATGTGAAAAAAAGCTTGGTAACAGATTATACTGAAGAACCCCCTTTTTATATCTCATCAACAAACAATATGTACAAAATCCAGCAGTGGTCATCAATGGGATATTAAGCATAGGCTAAGATCTAATAAACGGATATATTAGATCTTAGGCGTAGGGAAAGATTTTCCTCTTGTTTTTATTCCTTATTTGTTCCTGATGAAGGGATTGTTTGTGACTTCTTTTGCATGCATAGCTGAATAAGTGGACAGGAAAAAACTGCAATTAGGTCTTATCAGCATGATGGGAAAGTAGTTGACCTGTATTAAGAGTGTTGTATACCAGTTATGATTTAAACAGGCTTATATTTCATTTCTGCATCATAACAGAAGAGAAGTGACTTTCAAAAATCTTTGTAAATAAAATAAAAATATATTGTTCAACATGAATTGACCAATTTAAGGAAAATATATAGAAACAAGAAGCGTATTTGATAAATGTATCTGTCACTGAGGACAGTAATGGCTGATGTCTAGACGCTGATAACTTTGATGACCGCGCTGATAAACTGCTGATGACTGTACTACACAGAGAAAGGAATATATTACACAAATGTTGTGTAGAGAGATACAAATTATGCCAGGACATATGAGCACATGTTAAGGTGTTTACTCACTATGGCTATTTACAAATTATGCCAGGACATATGAGCACATGTTAAGGTGTTTTACTCACTATGGCTATTTGAAGAACAAATGTGGTGAATTATATTGAACAAGTATTTTACTCAAAGTGTAGATGTTAATGAATTTAACATATGTTTTGCACCTTCTTGTTTTTTCAGTTTTAACTTGTTTTACTTTTTTGACTAGTCTTTATTTTATACATTTACTTGATGACAATATAAGTGACAGTTCAAGTGTAAACAGCAATGCTATAATTAACTGTTTTGTTTATTCCAGAATCTCCTGTACAGGTCTCCAAGGAAATTATGTAAGATGGAGTTTACGGTGCCGGAATTGAAATTCTTGGAAAATGTGAATGCAGCTGAAACAAACTTGGAAATTCTACAACAGCAGCTGTCAAGGAAAGAGAGTTTTACATCTCTGCTGAAGAGATTTAATGTGAGTAATCTCTCTCTCTCTCTCTACCAACTGTAAAAATTGTCTTAAATCTTATAACTTCAACTCCACATTAATACTCTGTACAGGGGCAGATCCTGAGATATTTTCTGACAGTCTTCCAAATTATCTTTGTTGATCCATCCTCCATTTTTGAACGTCTTCGAAGAGAAAAAATTAAATCCCTGTCAGTGTTAACTTAAAAACTGTCTTCTGGAAGACACAGAAAACGGCTTATTTCCACTCATTTAGTTTACGTAAGTCTTCTCTACCCAAAGTAATGCAATATTTCTCTGTTGTATAGGAAATCTTCAATCAAAGTGGATTCTTCCCCACGTGTCAGAAGTGTCTGCAGCATATGCTGAACATCTCCCAGAGTTTACAGTCACACCAGGCAGACGACACCAGCCTCCAGGAGCGTTACCAGCAACATGTGACAAGATGGGAGGAACTGTGCGAAGCCTTGGATCAGTTCCATGAATATCTCAAGCAAATGCCACAGAAGTGGAAACTGTACTGTGAAAAGTAAGTGCACTTGGTTATTTTTGTTTTATTTATTTATTTTTGATATTTTATGAAACTTATGTCATTTATATTTGTATTTTTCCATGTATGTTTTTATTAGTGTAATGATTTAATTCATATTTATTTTATATCTGTTGAAAATAAAAATAGATTAATATGTGATGGATTTTCAAGTCATATAATTTGTTTTGATAGTTATAAATTCCATAGCAAACTACTGCCCTACTGTTTGTCAGTATTTGGTAATACACAATAATTGTTGAATTAGATGTAAGTGTTACCTTTTTCCATTTTAGGTTTAAGACCTTCAGTAATTGGATTGAAGAGATGTCATCAACTGTGCAAGAACTGGAGACAGAACCTGCTTCTGCTGAGGAATACAAAGAATCACTTGCTAAATTCCATGTAAGTTGATTTATTTATTCATTTATTTATTTTAAAATTGTATTTTAGAATTATAGACCCAAAGAGATAATTTAGGGTTTATTGTGGACTGAACTGATATATGAGTCATTTCCGAAAGTAATAAGATATAATGACCCATTTGAAGATGAAGGCTAGTAAACTGTACACCTCATGATGGTGACATTTGATGAAAACACTTTTCAATACAATGAAATCTTTAGAAAAACAGAATAAATGTTTTGATATCATTTTTTGCTGTATTTCCTTCCTTCAGAATATTTTATTAGTGCACTGATCTCACAATTTTTGTATTTTGCATGCTAGACCGAGGTAATTAAAGTCACAAAGATGTCATACTTACCTTTTAGATAACCCTTAGTTTGTAGCCCATAATTGTGGTTTAGAGATATTGACACAAACTTTGAAATCTATCATTTAGTTGTGTGCTGTGACAGTTATGTGTTGTTTTTCAGTCTCTAAGACTTTTCTACTTTTCATCTTCATAGGAACTTAATAAGTCAATTTTAAAGGCTTCCTGTTGTTATTTTGCTTTGTCAAGTATTTCTCTATTTTTTCTACTTTAAAAGTTCATTTTTTGTTTACTTCAGTGGCAGATATTTTAAACCAATCAAGGTTTATCAAACTTTATCATAGCCGTCATGTTTACCAGCTTATCATATCATTTTTTGTAACTTAATATATTTACCCAAATTACCTTTATAAGTAAGAATATTTCAACATGTACTTTTGTAAAGGAAAAAAATATACAACCAGACTGACATATTGTTGATAAGATTTTTGTTATTTTTAAAGAAAAATTAAAACAGTTATTATTTTGGGTTTTTTTTAACCTCTACTTCAGAAAAATGTGCAAAAAATTGATGCCACCCAGGAAGAGGCCAAGTGGCTGAAGGAGACCCTTGAAGAGCTTCTGGCTGAAACATCAGATGAAGAAAGTCTCAAGCAACAAGGCCAACTGGAAACGGCCTTGAGGAAATACAATGCCTTAATTCCCAGTATAGAGACAATAACTGTGAAGGCCCCTGTGGCTGTTCAATGTTACCAATACAGAGACAATGTACAGAAACAGACAGAATGGCTGAAAAAGACACAGGAAGCACTGAAAAAGGCAGAGACTGCTGACAGCATAGAAGAAGTCAAGCAGCTTTTACAAGAACAACAGGTATTTGCCTTGTACCGTGTACAACAATTCTAATATTATTATTTATGGTTATGTTACCTTCTTAACTATTTGTTCAGCAGAATAGTTTGGTTGCAGTTTTATTTGCTTTATTGCATTGTCATTACCTCTTGTTTGTGAGACTATAGAGTTGAGATCTTTAACTAATTATATTTTAACTATATTTTAATCTTATATGTATTTTGGAATATCTGAACTATTATCAATGCAGCATACTGATCATATTACAATTTCCCCCAGGCACTGCAAGAGAAACTTGCAGAAGAGAAGAAGAAGATTGAAAGTGAAGTTGCCATGGGGAAGCACCTAGAACAGCAAGCCCACACCCCTGACTTCCTGAATGCCACCATTACTGACCTGGAGAGCAGTTGGGGAGAGGCCACCGCTACTGCACAGATTAGACAGCAAAAACTCAAGGTAATACTTTAGTAATTGATAAAAAAAAAAACATAGTTTTCCAAATGATGCTCATGTCTAAAAAAGTTCCCAAGTTTTTATGAGAGTTTTTGCTCAGTACTGTTAACCTTGATCACTCTGACATATGTCATTGATGACATAACTTTTAAGCTCTAACACACCTTTCACAATTTTAGTCTTTAAAATCAGTTTTGATCTGTTTAAGTATGTCATCACCACTGCAGCTAAGTTTCCATGGATGGGAAAAAATGTTTCTCTAACTAATATGGTCCCAAAGTGGTGCTTTTATGTATTTATCCATAGATTATCATGCACTAGAGTTAGATTCCTTTTCAAAATGGAAAAGGGTTTGCTTTTAAACTTGGGTTGATGCCGTTTGGAATGTGGATTGTGCTTGGATGAGATTCCGTTCCACCTAACACAACCAGGAACAGATTTCTCAAGTTCTGTTATTCTTTCCACTTCAGGAAAGCCTTGAACAGTGGGAGGCATATGAGGAAAGCAAGGGGAAACTTCAGAGTGTGCTTCAAGAAGCTGAGACCTTGCTTGACAAACCTACAGCCCCACCAGGACTGGAGAATGTGCAGAAAGAACTGGCAAAGAAACAGGTATCAAAGCATACTTGATCCTTTAGAGCAATAGGGGTAAAGACTCGAAAGTATTCAAGATAAGAATTCTAGAATTCAAGAAGTAGAATTTTTATAATTATTATTATACAGGGTAAAGTTATCTTTCACTGTTTTGTATCTGAACATCGAATGCAATACCTAAGATAGGATATGGACTCTTAATGATACTCACACAGTGGTGAATATGGATAGAATTTCTTGGATTATCAATCACTTAATTATTTTTATGTAAGATGTGGTATCTCTACTGGTTAAAAAAATTAACAAGTATGCAACATTTTGTAGGCATTACTGAAAACACTAGAGGACATGCACCCAGATTTGTCTGATACATTGGACTTGAACAGTTCTCTGAGGAGTAACGCCAGCGATAGCCGCAGACACAGCTTGGAGATGGAAGTGGTGGAGATTGAAGGCAGAGTGCAGACAGCTAAAGATGCTCTTAGCTCCAGGTAATATCTCATTGAAAAAAATTAATGGTATAGAATAATGCTTATTTTGAAACTTTAACACTCAACCAATTTGACAATTTGATATATCAACGTTTGTGTTGGAGTTGCAGGCGTGTTTCCACTGCGAGGACTTGACTCTTGTTTAAACTCTAAAAATTTTTTAAATTCATATACAAGTAATGCTTATGCTTGAAAATCTTATGTTGTTTCCATTTGGATAAGGCATATTACAGATAAAGTTATTTAAATGGTTATCTACTTGATAGAATCACTCATTTTTTGTTAATGTAGGGTCTTTATGTTATTTCAGAGTTGAAGAATTAAAGGCTGCAGAGAAACAGTGGCAGACGTACTATGAAAAACTGAATGGTTTCAGCAACTGGCTTAATGCTAGTGAAGACAAACTGAGTCAGATAGCAGAAGAGAAGAGTTCACCAGAGGAACAGTTCAATAGAATTAAGGTATGGGTAAAGTCCAGCTAGAAGTTATCTTTGGTTTTATTGTGATCATTTATTATGTACAGACACAGATGTGTCTGTACATATAGCCATCATCTGCGTCTGTCAAAAATCAGCATGATCGGGTCATTTTTAGGGAAGTTACGCTGTTTTTATGTACAGACACAGATGTGTCTGTACATATAGCCATCATCTGCGTCTGTCGTCGTCGTCGCCGCCGTCGTGNATAACTATATTTTAATCTTATATGTATTTTGGAATATCTGAATTATTATCAATGCAGCATACTGATCATATTACAATTTCCCCCAGGCACTGCAAGAGAAACTTGCAGAAGAGAAGAAGAAGATTGAAAGTGAAGTTGCCATGGGGAAGCACCTAGAACAGCAGGCCCACACCCCTGACTTCCTGAATGCCACCATTACTGACCTGGAGAGCAGTTGGGGAGAGGCCACCGCTACTGCACAGATTAGACAGCAAAAACTCAAGGTAATACTTCAGCAATTAATAAAAAATCCCATTGTATTCTAACTGATGCTCATGTCTAAAAAAGTTTTTATGAGAGTTTTTGCTCATTACTGTTAACCTTGATCACTTGGACATATGACATTGATGACATAACTTTTAAGCTCTAACATACCTTTCACAATTTAAGTCTTTAAAATCAGTTTTGATACTTTTCAAATATGTCACCACCACTGCAGCTAAGCTTCCAAGGATGCAAAATAAAGTTTCTCTAACTCATGTGATCTCAAATTGGTGCTTTCATGTATTTATACATAGATGATCATACGCTAGAGTTAGATTCCTTTTCAAAATGCAAAAGGGTTTGCTTTTAAACTTGGATTGATGCCGTCTGGAATGTGGATTGTGCTTGGATGAGATTCTGTCCCACCTAACACAACCAGGAACAGATTTCTCAAGTTCTGTTATTCTTTCCACTTCAGGAAAGCCTTGAACAGTGGGAGGCATATGAGGAAAGCAAGGGGAAACTTCAGAGTGTGCTTCAAGAAGCTGAGACCTTGCTTGACAAACCTACAGCCCCACCAGGACTGGAGAATGTGCAGAAAGAACTGGCAAAGAAACAGGTATCAAAGCATACTTGATCCTTTAGAGCAATAGGGGTAAAGACACGAAAGTATTCAAGATAAGATTTCTAGAATTCAAGAAGCAGAATTTTTGTAATTATTATTATACAGGGTAAAGTTATCTTTCACTGTTTTGTATCTGAACATCGAACGCAATACCTAAGATAGGATATGGACTCTTAATGATACTCACACAGTGGTGAATATGGATAGAATTTCTTGGATTATCAATCACTTAATTATTTTTATGTAAGACGTGGTATCTCTACTGGTTAAAAAAATTAACAAGTATGCAACATTTTGTAGGCATTACTGAAAACATTAGAGGACATGCACCCAGATTTGTCAGATACATTGGACTTGAACAGTTCTCTGAGGAGTAACGCCAGCGATAGCCGCAGACACAGTTTGGAGATGGAAGCGGTGGAGATTGAAGGCAGAGTGCAGACAGCTAAAGATGCTCTTAGCTCCAGGTAATATTTCTTTGAAAAACATTAATGTTATAGAATTCTGTGGATTTTGTAACTTTAAACCTCAACCAAATTGATAATTTAAGATGAAATTTTAGAAATTTGTGGTTCCTATCCCACTGTCTTTGGAACTTTTGTGGTGTATTTACAGATGTGTTTCCACTGTGGGGACTTGACTCTTGTTTAAAATCTAGAATTTTTTTAAAATATATATACAAATAATGCTTAAGCTTTAAAATCTTATGTTGTTTCCATTGGGATAAGGCATATCGCAGATTGAGTTATTTAAATGGTTATCCATTTGATAGAAACATTTATTTTATTTTAATGTGGCATCTTTATGTTATTTCAGAGTTGAAGAATTAAAGGCTGCAGAGAAACAGTGGCAGACGTACTATGAAAAACTGAATGGTTTCAGCAACTGGCTTAATGCTAGTGAAGACAAACTGAGTCAGATAGCAGAAGAAAAGAGTTCACCAGAGGAACAGTTCAATAGAATTAAGGTATGGGTAAAGTCCAGCTAGAAGTTATCTTTGGTTTTATTTGACCATTTATTTATTTATTAGTATTTTATTAGTAAAAAATGACCACAGCTATTTCTCTCTATCAGGGCATACGTGGCAAACAAAGTATTTCAGATTTTGGCTTGATTATTTCGTAACATTACATTTATTGCTGATAAATCCTTTTGTTTGTATAAATTACCCTAATGGCCTTAAGTAAAACTATGACTTTGGTTAAGGCTTTTAAGTCTATTAACTTCCATGGTATTATATTTGTTATTTCAAACTATTTTCCAGGACATCTGCTCTGAAGTATATGACAATCATGCAGAACTTGAAGCACTGGAAGACGGAGGGAGAGACTTGTCAAACAATTTCAGATCTCGCGAAACTGCAGCTTTAAAGACAAAACTTTCAAATCTACGCAAAAAATGGGAGAATATTTGTGCGCACGCCAAAGAACAAAGCACCGTGTTGTCTGACAATGTAAAACACTGGCACAGGTATCAAAATAACTTACAGCAATTACTCCCATGGTTGGATAATGCAGATAAACTGTTATCAGCGCCTGTTGCGCAGACGTCCTCCATGGAAGAAGCCAAAGAACAATTACAAAATCACCAAGCCTTTTTGAGAGAACAAGAAGAAAACCATGCTCTTTATGACAATCTTCTTGAAGAATCTAGTCGCCTGCTGGATAACCCAGAGGTCTCTGCCCAGATGCAGGAAATTCAGAGTCGTTGGAACACGATCCAAGTGCAGGCGGAGGAACGCGCCAACGTGCTTGATCAGATGTACACACAGTGGGAGTCCTATCACCAAGAGGTGGGAGAATATGAAGATGTCTTGGACCAGTATGAGAAACTTCTGGCTGGAGATGAAACGGTTCTCACCAGCAGCATCAATGTTCAGAAACTGGAAATGGAGCTAGCTAAGCATAAGGTATTCACTAGTTTAGTCAGCTAGTTGCGAGTTTGTTTGTTTAATTTTAGATGGTATAAATCTTGTGGTATAACAAATACCATTATTTACAATTTACATGCACTTTTTTTTGTCAATGAAACTCGTTTGAAGTATAATGTCTCTGTTATTGCCCAGTAAAATTGAAATATGATCTCCATCTTTTATGTATGAAACTTATTTTGAATTTTGCTAAGGCTTTGCAAGAAGAGATAAAAAGTCGACAGCCAGTCCTGGCTTCGGTTGACAAGCAATTCCGCCAACTTCAACCCCACGTTTGCCCTGACGCTGTGGAGGCCCTAGAAAGCAAGCAGAAACAGGTTCAGCAGGACTCCCTCAGTCTCACATCCACCATTTCTCAGCGGGTGTCAGCCATTGCCCAGACCCTCCAAGAAAGGAAAAACTTCTACAATAAACTGGAGGCTTTTGAAAAATGGCTGAAAAAGATGCACAGACGTATTGAGGAAACCAGTGAAATCTACAGTGACGATGTTGATAAAGGCTACAGCAGAACACAGGTATCAGTTGAACACAGTCCTAATTAATTAAATTTGACATAAATTTACATAAATTTACACAGAAAAGTGGGTATGTTTGAGAACTTTTAATACATAAACCCCTCCAGCGTAGATGATGGAAATAGCAGTGTGACTTGTTTGGCCTCATTATTGATGATTTTCACCTGAAAAAAAATGACCGTTTTATGTCTATATGGTTAACATGCTTATTAATTGTATAGTTAAATGATATTTGAAATGTATATCTTTTATTTCATTTATTTCAAGGCTGAACAAATTGAGGCTGAGAGTAAACGATCCACATTCACTAAACTTTATGCTGAGATTACTGAACTTAGAAAACATTGCCCTCCCGAGGAGGCAGAAGATCTTGCAGAAAGACAAAATACTGTCCGTGAAGAGCACAACAGTCTTCATCGGGTGTTGGCGAACAGAGAGGAAATATTTCAAAAATGGTCACGTTATCAGACAATGCATCATGAAAACCAAATCAAACTTGAAGCAATTCAGACAAGACTGAAGTCTGAGGAATTGACCTCAAATGACCTTGAGCAGCTGTCCCATGACCTGGAAGATGTGCAAACCAAGATGGCGGAATGGACCAAACATGCGCACACACTAGACGAATTGATGCCTGAAGCAAGGGTCACAATATTAGACAAAGCAAAACAGACTCCCGTTCATTTCTCCATCGAGGTCCAAAGTATATTGGGATTGTGTAATGTGGTTGCTAAGGAAATTCAGTTACGCCAGGAAAATCTGAATGAGATTGAATCTCTCTGGCAGAAATTCTTAGCCGAGAAAAAGAAACTTGAGAATACAATAGATGATATTAGTCAACAAATAGAGGCAGCTGAAGTACAGGAGTCCACTTTGGAAGGGATAAAGAGCTTGTCAAAAGATATAATGGTATGTTTACATTTTATACTGTACTGGCAGTGTTAAAGGTGAACAATATTCAGAGTTTTTTGTTGTCTAAATCATTTTACATTTAATACAATAGCTATAGATACAAGTGCTTAAACGGAAACTGTTGGAATGATTTCATATTGGATAAAATGTTTGAATTTTTCTTCAAGACTGTGCAAAAGGAAAAAGATGCTCTAGTGCCAAATTATGAGAGTCTCCATGACAGAGGACAGCAGCTCCTGCGCCTTTCTCCAAGCAGAGTGCCAGAAATTCAGCAGAATTTGAAGTCCATTGAGAACCGTTGGGAACATTTCCAGGCTTTGGTTCTTGAAAGAGCTGATGGTGAGCTATGATATATATTTTAATTGTTACTTCAAAATTAGCCTTCATTTTCTTGAACAAAATCACTTGTCTTAGCTTTATAATCTTAATTCTAAATTGCAAAGATTACTACATGTAGATCTTTTATATAATTCCCCCTAATTGAACTTAATTTTAAATTATGTTACAGAACTGGAGCTTAAATTTAAAGACAGTTAGCTTGTTAGATAAGGGCGCACTGTTAAATCAAATTTGTATGCCAAGCATTTTAAGGTTAAGAAAATGAAAATACTTTTTTGGCCTTCAGGTTGCTCGTCCTTAATAGACCTTTGGCAGCAGTATCTGGATGCCCACCAGGGGGTGCTCAGGTTGCTCAGTGAGGTCAAGGCTGTTGCAGAAGCCACAACAGATTGCAACAGCCAGGCAGCAGTCAGAGAAATGCTCAACAAACTGAAAGTAAGTTTGATTTACCCCTGCATATGTAGTATTGAAAACACATTAACATGTGCCAGTTGTATAGTATATGACAAATTAAAAGTGCACACACTTGCACTGACATGCACTCTCATGTGCTTGCGTACACACACATGCACGTACACACCCCACTCCCCTTACCAGGGGAATTATACCTCATCAAGAGTGAAGTAAATGTAATGAGATCCAAAGCCAATACAGGATTAAAGAATGAAGAAGAAGGTTTACATTGCACAGGGATAAAATGAAAAATTTACCAAAGTGCTTTTAATGCCCTATCTTTTCTATCTTCCAGAAAGCAGAATTTGAACTGGTCAGTAACCACACACAGCTGAATTATTTCAATACCAAGGCCCAAAAGCTGATCAGTGACCTCCATGTTCTTAAGAATTTCAACAATTCACGGTTGAAAAAAGAAATACAGGCTGATAATGATGCTTGGCAGAAAACATTACTGGTAATTATTGCAGGGACAATAGAATCTTTTATATACATGTAGTACTGGATTATTGAAATGCACAGAAAGCATTAATTGTCTATAAATATTTATATTTATGTAGAGTCAAATGATACTGTTAAGGCACACCCACTTTTAAGCAATTCCATGCACATTATAGATTTTCAAATTTTTCCTCTTTTAGATGATTTAACTTGAATCAGTGTTGAGTTACAGTGGCTACATGATTACATATAAAAAATCAAATTTTAAAAATGCAGTTCTTGTGTCTGACCCATTCATTGAATTACAATGGCTACATGCTTACATTAAAAAAAATCTGACCCATAATAATATAACTTCCAGTTGCTATCAGAGAACAAGCAGAACCTGGAGGCCCAGCTGGTCTACTGGGGCCAGATCCTGACCCAGAATGAGGAGGTCCTCACCTGGATCCAGGGGGTGGTGGATAGACTGGAAGACCACGCCCATCACTTCAGGGACACTGTTGGGGCTCAAAATGCCATGGACAGCTATAAGGTATGGGCTCTCTTTTTAATGGGGTTTATAATTATTTTAATAATTATAAACCCTATTTTAATAATTATAAACAACTACTACTATCACTTATATTAAAATATAAGTGATAGTATTAGTAGTGGTAGTTACTTTAGTGCAGGTAGCATTTATAAGAAACAGTTTGTTAAGTTCCTATTGTTATTGCCTAGCCTTTATTTTACAATTTTGATAAGCTTTCCTTGATGGATTTACTTGAATGTTAATTTTTTTCACTGTAATGTGTCATTTGTTTTATCATTTTTTTATTACAGGGTGAATTACCCTACTTTGAAGACCTGTTCGAATCTGCCTGTAAGAAAACCAGTGACCTCCAACGTCTGAACAACGGATGTGAGATCGAGAGTCTTCAAATGGCGCAGCAACAGATTGACTCTCTGTTCAAAAAAGCTGATGACCTGGCTGACCAGTTAGAAGGAATTCTGACCGAGTTCCTCGACCTGACCGAGAGACTGACCGGAGAGGTGGAAGAAGAAGCCTCCATGTTGAACAGTATGAAGGAATACTTGGCCAAGTATGATGATGTGACAGGGACTGATGAACAGCTGGTGGAGAGACTGGATGATTGCAGGGTCAGTGGTGTAACAATGACATGGTTTTATGGCATGCCAATTTGGATCTTGCCTCTTTCTCGTAGTACCCATTTCTAACAAGCACAATTCCTCATCTTGGTAATCAAAACTCAAGTTCTCTCTGAAGATTTCAGGCAAATTTTCAGAGAGAACTTGCAGTTTTGATTACCAAGATGGGGAATTGTGCTCATTAGAAAGTTTAATACTCTTATCACATACTTTAATAATTTATCCATTTAATTGAAATGTTAATACATTAATTTTTTACTTTTGTTTTCAGACAATCCATGACCAGTTCCTTGCTAGTCAAGAAAAAGTAGCAGAACTGCAGGAAAAGCTTGCCACTTTGACTGCCAAATATCAGACTCCAGAGACTGCCAGTCTTGCCAAAGATCTGGCCGCCTTGGCCAAGAAACACGAAATGTCTCTTCAGAGAGCTGAGAAAGTTGAAGACATCCTGGAGCGCACCCTAGAACAACATGCTAACGAGGCGGAGCAAGATCATCAAAGATGGCTGACGGCAGCGAAGGAGAAGATGGCTTGGTGTGAGGAGCCAGCTGGGGACAGATACAGTGTGGAAGCTAAATTGTCAGCCATTGAGGTAGGTTTTTTATTAATATGAAAATTTCACATTATGCAATTCTGACATAGATAATTTCCTACATTCCTGGATATTGTTTTGAAATTGAATGTGTTTTATTAAATTAATTCAAAAGTTGATTTAAAAAGGTAAGTTAAAGTTTTTTTTAACTTTTAAGTTAATATCAATTTAAAGGTTGATTTAAATGTTGAGTTTTAAAATAGAATTTAAAATGAACCCTTACAGTTCACCTTCAATTAAACCAATTATGTACATAATTGAAAATAACATGAAATAAATTCACAATCACAGGATTTGTTGAGAGAAACTGGTGAAGGTGAAACCAAAACAGATTTAGCAGAATCCAAGATGTCCCTCCTGGAGAGCACACTGACAGGATCTAGACAGAGTGACTTACAGGGCAGGGGCTCCATGGCCAGGGATGACTTCAAAGACTTTGTAGATAATCTACACCAAACCAAGTATGTATTACATTTGTTTGATTTACAGTATTTATATTCTTGTTATGGAATCCAGTGATGAGAATTGCATGTTTTTCACTAATTAACTGATTATACCCAGATAATTGATCCAATTGTAACAGTTTATGAAATTACTACCTGTTGTCAGTATTTTAGCATTTTTATTCTTGGATTTGAATGTTCTCTCCTCTGCTTTGCCATCGATGGCAAAACACACACCTGAAAATTGCTATGAGGAAAATCATTAATATGGTCAAAATTTAAACAAACCAGCTTGGTATATAAATTTTGATATCACATCAGTATATGAATTTCCCCAAAAACCTTCAGATTATTCATTTCTGTTAACAAAAGGTAAATACAAAAAGTGAAAAACAAATTTGTGACTTTACTCTCATTGTTGATATTGCCAAAAAAAAAACATTTCCCCAATCAAAAGACTAAATATCAAATATAAATTATGTTGACTTGAACCCTAAAATGTGTGTTTTCACAGAGAGAGGCTGGAGTCCACCTTACAACAATGGGATGAGTATGAGGAGACAGAGGAGGCCGAGATGCTGTGGTTGAAGAACACTGAGGCCAGAGTGAGGACTGAAGCAACTCTCAAACCTGACCTACAGGGCAAGAAGAAGCAACTAGAATCATTCCAGGTAGGCTTTGTTATTATAATTCACTGATGAGACTTTTCAGACTTTTGTAGGAATTCTGACTTTTTCAGGGTCATTTGGGTCATTCTTGTGAATCTTGTATTCTGGACCCCTGGCCAATTTCCCTACTTTTTCAGTGAGGTCTGGTCTCATCACTGTTATATATGAATCAGGAATGAGATTTTTCTGACTATTTGTGAATTTCCAACTTTTTAAAAGCCAAAAATATCATTGGCCTAGGCAGCCCACTGGACCCCACGCCATATTTTCTGTTTTTCACCAAATGGCAGTTATAGATTCTTCATGTTACTATGGTTGAGTATGGTTAGTGGGTTTGATAAAGTAATTTCCCCCTTGATGTTTACCCAGTTCATTGGCCTGTCCCACCTCTAACTATCTATATATGTACAAAGTATATATGCCCCATTACCCCTATGTGTCATTCTTATCCTTACTGAATTTAAACATACTGAGGAAGTGATCCTTCTAAGTTTTGTTGTCATTTTTCTCCTAAAAACAGAATAATATAAGGATTTTGTCATATGGTGCCTGAACACTGTTATTTTATGTTCAATACGTGGTAATTCCTTAAACACCAGCCAACATTTTTAATCGGCACCTATTTATTTCATTCTTTAGGCCTTGTTACAAGATGTAGAGGCACACGAAGATGCAATGTCCACCTTGGGGTCCCAGGCAGGTGACCTGGCAGAAACCACAGGTGACAACAGGGTGACAGCCTCAGCCACTCAGATGTCTGCCAAGTTCCAACAGCTAGTGGAACTAATCAAGGTATGCTTGGAACTAATCAAGATGTGAATTGGCTGCTTGCAGTTGGGTAAAAACCAGCAAATAATTCCCCATTGACGGCCATACTGAGAAATGCCTGCAAAACTGCATTAACAAAATAATTTGTTAAAACATTTCCTATCCCAATGAACAGTATACACACTGACTTAACTCCCAATGGCACAGAAATATACTGTTAAAGTGCTTCATTTCTTACCAGCAGTACTTGAACATGTGTATCCCTCTTGTTTGTAAACAAACCACTGCACCTCTCACAGTCAGTAGCTCCCTCTGCCAGGTCCAAAACTTCAGGACACCTGTGCCTGGTCCTGAAAAAAAAATAGGAAGTAGTTTATACCCAAGGCTGCTCGTTGACACTAAAATGACAAGCAACACAAGAAATGTCAGGAAAAAATGGGGAAAAATCACTAATCTTTCTCACAGCAATACATTCATCTATAACAGTCCGTGATTGGTCTATTTGGTGGATTCTGCCCTTAAAGATACCCCCACTCCCTTTTTTTTTCTTCTGACACAAAATTAAAACCTTGATACACTGCATACTGCTCCACCTAATATGTGACTGAGCTCTGTCAAGTTGAAAATGTGCTCGCTGTATGGACCACTAAGCCAGCATTACAACTGGTGAGAGAGGCACAATTTCATGGGTGGAAAAAAGCTAAATGCAAATATCTGTGTCTGAATTTGCTTCAGATATTTGGAAATTTGGACAAATGATGCTGGGCAAGTTTGAAAATCTGAGATAAACATTTTAACTGGTTGTGACTAGTTTAAGTGCACTGCTGAGGAGTTATGTGAGAGAAGTGGAAATAGTGATAAAAAGATACTTAAAAATACTTAAAAATACTTAAACTCAAATGAAAGGCCTATTGTCACAACTGGTGTTTGTGATTGTTTGTAAGCATAAAGGAAATCAGTTTCCTGTCTTCACCTGCAGAACAATACTTACTGCCAACCAGGCTTATTGTCACAACTGATGGTTGTGTTTGTTTGTAAGCATACAGGAAATCAGCTTCCTGACTAAACTTGCAGAACAATAAATAATCACTGCTAATAAGCCAGGTATCTCTCCTGCACTGGGGCTATGCAGTTTGCTGTTTACAAAGACTTCCTCTTCCCATCACTGTTCACACCTTTTGTGCCATGTGTCCTGTTTTCCTGCACACCTGGGAGAGACAATGGGGAGCTGATGCTATAAAATCTCCTGTCTTTGGCTTCTGGCTCAGTAGTCACTTGCTTACCACCATGCCGTACGGTAAAGGTAGCTGGAAAAAACGAAGAAAAAGTGTATTTGTGAAGGGACACACGCTATCCGCTAGAAGACAGAAGCTTGACAGGCCTCCAGAGCCAGTTGTGAGAAGATTCATCAGACCCAGTGAAGAGTTGAACCAGGCAGCCTCCATTTCACCCCCTGTCAGGCCACCAACAACTCTCAGCAGCAGCCCTGATGCACCTGTCATACTGAGACCCAGGAGAGCACAGCCAGAAAATGTGACCAGTAGCCAGCCCCAACCCCCAGATGATGAATACAAGTTAGTTACAGCCAATAGAATTGTCAATCTGGTCAACGAAATCTTGTCAGGGCATACAGCTGAGTGCTCTGGCTCAATGGTTTGGGACAAAGAAGCAGAAATGGGACTAAAATGTGACACGTGTCAGTACAGAACAAGGAAGGATTCAAAGTGCTGTCCAGTTAAGGAATAATGGACTTAATCCACTTTGAGTAAGATGGCCTCTGTTGGTATTGTACCAACTTCTTCAGTTATTAAATATCTGGAGAAAGATGAAAAACCAATGAAAACGAGAGTGAATCACAAAAAGACAATTTCATTCAAGTTTGGAGCTAGAAGGAGAATTATTAACCATAACAGAAAATATGACAGATCTTAAGCATTAAAAAGTAATGACTGCAGAAAATGCATGCGATATGCCAAGACTTGTATTTCCTGATCACAGTTAGTCAAAGATGAGAGCGAATCATGAAAAGACAATATTGCTTAAAGTTTAGTGATGTGAGTGAATCACAAAAAGACAATGGCATTTCATTTAAGAGCTAGAAGGAGAATCCTTAACAGTTACAGCATATTGAAGCATTGAAAAGTAATGACTATGGAAAATGAATATGATATGCCAAAACGTGTATTTCCTGATCACAGTTATAAAGTGTATCACAAAAAGACAATTGCATTCAAGTCTCGTGATGAGAGTGGATCATAAAGAGACAGTTGCATCCAAGTCTAGAGCTAAAAGGAGAATCCTTAACAGTTATGGAAAATATGTCAAATCTAAAGCATTGAAAAGAAATAACTATAGATATCTGTGCCAAAACTTGTATTTCCTGATCACAGTTATTCCAACAGAACTAGTTATTAAAAGAAAATGTATGATTTCAAGTTACTGCTCTTTAATAAACTAGTTGTGAAACATACACACAAGTTTGCTGGTCTTTCTTCTACTCGAATCTGAGAAATTGAATTAAGAAACTTAGAAATAAAGTAAACACAAATTTAAAAAAATAATTAAAATTATCATGTACACATTCAGGCCTTTCTCCGTGTCCGAGGCATTTTTATACATTACGACAATGTAGCCTATTATTGTTGATTCCATGAGGCTCTGCTGTGAGATGACTGGGGTTACAGCACAAGGTGACTCCACACAAGTGAGATATGTACTTCAGTGCCTCTTGGTATATGCAGAACCCTTTCTTTTAGCATAAATGCCACCCTGTGCACTCCAACAGTACTGGAGTGGCTGGCTCTAGGAAATGTGACCTGCTTTATCCCTTAATGGACCCTACCTGAATAACGGGTGGCTTTAGTCATAGCCTTGAATATCTCACTTATGTGTTATGCAATTTTGCATTTTTAAACTTAATTGTCGGCTGTTGCCGGAAAAATGCTTCCTTTGTCATTTTTTATATGAAATGATGTAAGACCACTCCCTTTTCTACCCTGTGCTGCTCTAAAAATAGAAACTTGTAAATGTGATATAATATATATTTTAATGATAATGTGATAAAATTTATATTTAAATTGTCTTAAAATATACATTATATCACATTTTCAATTTTCCAAACCACATAACATCATAAATAGACACTCAGAAACACATTTATTTATTTATTTATTTATTTGTTTATTCTCACCACAGGGATGAAAGACAAAAAAAAGAGTACATACATAAAATCGCACACAAAATTCCCATAGTGAAATCACATAATGAAATTATTCTATACTAATATAAGTAATTAAATTATAAATATGCTCTCTCAACAGACACTTAACTCTTGAAACAAACTTTTTTATTCACATTCAAACAGGACCAGGTAGAGACATGTGAGACCAGTGTCCAGGACCATGAGGACTTCCAGAAGAAGTACTCCCTCAGTGTGGGCTGGCTAGAGGCTGCCTCGAAGAGACTGCAGGATGTGTCCGACACGGCTGGGGACAAGGAAGAGATTCAGGCCAGGCTGGCAGAAGTCAAGGTATGGTTTCATTTATATACATCATGCTTTAAAAATCATGTAATACTATACTATAATAAGTATCATATAGTTGTTCAAGTAAGGTACATGTGTGTGAGAGAAGATTAATGAGAGAGGGTGATGTATATGAGATAATTCTAATCTAATACCTAGTGACTCTGATATTGCGAATACATGGTTTTGTCTTGATATTTTATAATTTTCAAAGTATAAATTGCCACCTAGATTATTTTCTTTTAATCATGAAAGTATGTTATGTAGATTACAACTATTATTTATATCGATTTTTCTTGTTATCTGCTATGTTAAATGTTAACATTGTTAAATGCTAACATTTTACACTTACATTTACCCACTGTCACCTTTTGAAAAGAGATGGGCCTTTATTTGTCACTTAATTAATGACAAGGCAATGTTACATTACTTGTCTATGCAGTTGAAATAAATTGGCCAAATGAGTCACATCAGATTGCTATCTAAACTACCCGTCAAAGTGATCACTTAATTGTCTAATTGGTGGAATACCTGCTATAGGTAGGCGGAGGTGTGAAACTTGTTACTGTCACAGTAATAAGTTATATGACGTGTGCTTAGCTGATCTTTGACACTTGTCTAATCTTTTTTTGTTAGGGAATACTGGGTATAGGCAAAGAAGGTTTAAGGTTTATGTTGAATCTTGTCAGTGTGAAAACTGATTAAATCTTCATTTGTTTGCTCATTTCTATAGGCCTTAGTACTCAAAGAATACTAAACAATATTAACTGTAGAAAAAATGTGGAGCAGTAAGATAAAAATGGTTATTATTTACAGGAGTTGGCCAACAGTAAAGAAGAAGGTGCAGATAAGTTTAACTCGTGTCTGACGGCAGGGGACAAGCTTCACCCACACACAGCAGTTGAGGGGCGCGAGGCGATCCGCCACGAGGTGCGAGCCCTACGAGAAATGTGGGAGAAGTACTGTAACAATCTGACACACGCACAGAATTCTTTAGAGATGCGCCTAATGCAGTGGCAATCTTACGATGAAAGCCATGACCACTTAAAAGAATGGGTGGCTGAGATGGAGCAGCAGGTCGGAGAGGATGTGGAGCTGAAGTCCACGCTGCAAGAGAAGAAGGCCTTGGCTCAGCATTACAAAGTAGGTTTACTAAATGATATGTCAGTTTGTATTTTCCTGAATTTTTGCAGTTTGCATAATGAAAGTCTGCATGTGATAAAATCTTAAACTTTAGCCAAAGGCTTAAATTGATGGCCAGCAGTATCTATTCAGCATGTTTCTGTATGCTTGTTGATGTGATAGCCTAAGATGAGACTACTGGTGCCCTCTGTGCTTTACTTTTAGGATGGGGTACATTTCTACCCATTTTATTCATTTTATCACCTCATGGTTGGCTGAATGGTTCTTTAAAATGTATTACCAAATGGTAACTTAATTTTGCTGTTTTCTCTTGTATCACAGGGTGTTTGTCAAGAAGTGATGTCTCACCAGGGTCTGCTGGAGAATGTGGGCGAGAGGGCTCAAGTGTTGGCCTCCCCCAGTGTCCACGGCAAGATGGACAAGCTCAAGTCCAGATACAGAAATCTCTGCTTGACAGCCAAGGTCAGTTATGCTCATAATGATATTTTTTCTTCATATAAGCTAGGTCATAGATTTAAGCTTTTCAGTAGAAAGATGAAGATCACGAAAGGAAAAAAAACTCATGCCTTTATTATTTATTAGTTTATTATTAAATGATAAGGCTGTTTTTACAATTTTAAGAATTGTGGAAAATATGTGTGGAGTAATTCATTTCAGTATGCAATCTGTGGATATCCAGTACACTTGGATTTATTAATTCTGTAATTTACAAGTCATTCTCTTTTCATAGTTCAATATTTTGACCCTTTTTATATATGATATATTGTATATTCTAATATCCTGTATGTACTCAATTTATAGGAGCATGTAATGAAGAGTGGTCAGTTTTCTGAGGAGCACCAGCAGTTCCAGGAGGCCTACCAACAGTGTCTGGAGTGGTTGCAGGTGACCCAAGAGAAGCTGAAGGTCTGCTCAGACACCACCGGGGACAGACAGACACTGGTCAACAGGCTGGACAGACAGATGGTCAGTGTTAGGACACATGTAGATTTGGCATCTAAAGTGATGTTATCTATAGAACTATTTATGTAAATGTATATACTTTGGCTGATCAATGTAAATTAAACTTCATTTCAGAAATTAAGCTTTGTTTTAACTGATATATTTAATCTTGCTTAAAATATTTGAATTAGCATGTGAATAAATTCAATTATTTTTAAGACTTTTCATCATGAGTAATCTCATCCACACTCTAGACCTCTAAAACTTCCATTTATGAAACACAAAGTTGAATTTTAAGACTTACCATCATCGATCCATTTGATTCAAATTTCTTTCATCATGATAATTTTACTGTTTCCCTACAGGAAATCATGTCAACTAAACACGAAGGCCAGACCAAGCTTAATGTTGCCAGGAGCCTGGCGGAAAAAGTGATTCCCCACACTGCCCCAGAGGGTCAAGCGGTCATCCAGGCCGAACTCCAGACCTTGCAGGACACCTGGGATCAGACCCACAGCAAGGCAGCAGATATTAAAGCCAACCTTCAAACTGCTATTCATTCCTGGGAAGACTATGAGCATGTCTTCAACAGCCTCAGTAAGTGGGTCAGAGAAACGGAGCTGAAGTTGAAGGATAACGACCTCAAGGCCACTTTACCTGACAAGACGGTCTACCTTGAAAACTTGAAGGTAGTGTATAATTATCGACATATTTTAAAGATGATCTTGGTTTAAATTTTAAGAAGTTTAAAAGGGGTATTTGTTGTTTTTTACAAGATGGGGAAAATGGCAGAAAATTATGGAAGTGTAACACTTTAAGGTTACTAAGGTTACCTTATTAGATCTTGCAAGTATTTTTTTATAGCCACTATATGACCTGATATAAAAGTGAATAATTTGTGTATTTTCATTTGCATATGTAGGCTTTGAACAAAGAAGTTTCAGACAAGCAGACATCAATTGACAACTTGGGTCACAAAGCCCAGAAACTGGCCAGCAGTGACCCCAAAGTGTCTAGCGTGACCACACAGCTGACCACCAGATACCAGGCACTCAAGAGCCATGTTAAGGTATGTCATAGAATCATCCCCATGTGCTTAAACTTCCAAGTTATTCACACATATTTATATTCAAAGCTGAGTTTAATAAGAATTCAAAGTAAGAAGTTTGGATCAGAATGTGACTTTCTCTTCTTCCATCATATTAAAAAATCTGGAAATACATGTTGTTAATTTAGAATGATCTTGAAGTGCTTCATATGGATGATTTTAAAGAGTTTAAAATATATTTACTTATTACCTACTCCAGGACTTGGTAGTGCAGTGGGAGGACCATGTAAGAGAACACCAGCAGTACTCTGAGAAATTCTCCTCCTGTACCCAGTGGATGGGAGAGCTGAGACGGGAACTGGAGAAGTGTGCAGACTTCAGTGGGGACAAAGCAGCCATTGAAGGACGCCTTGCTGCTGTTCAGGTACAGTTCATATTTTGCAGTCAGTGTTTGATGAAAAAAATGTACTTCAGGTCATAAAAGGAATAAGATTAAATTATTTCTCAACATTTTTCCTGCTACTTAACAACAGTGGTGATGATAGCTTGTTGTACTGTAAATAGTTAATTGAAACTGCATTCTAACCATTCAGCATAGGAAATACAAGAGTTATAAACATAATTTAAAAATCTATTTCAATCTGTCAAAGGTCTTGTCTAGCATTTAGTTTAGGGACCTCCCAGTCACTGGTCATTTTAAACCAAATTGTATTTTGATTGCAGTCAGTGTCATATAAAGATTAATGCACATTCTTATTCCAGGAGCTGATGTTGGAAAAGGATCAGAGTTCTAACATCCTCCACCAGACTCTGGAGAGTGGAGAGAGGTTACAGCTCTCCACTGCCCCTGTTGGTAGGGAGGTGGTCAGGCAGGAACTAAGGTGAGGATTAGCTGTATACATAATAAAGATTGGACCAATTAAGCATTAGTTTACATAGATTATTAAAAGCTGGAACCCAGACATATCATTATTCAAAATCTGTAGATATAAGAGGTTTTCATATTAAAAAGGAGATTTTTGTGAAAATTTCATCTTGTATGATTAAGCAAATAAGAATACAGTTTGTGTGTTTTCTTTCTAGAACTCTGAGAGATGGCTGGGACACATTGAGTGACAAACTGTCAGAAACCCAGCATCAGCTAGAAACCAGTCTTGGTCAGTGGTTCTCCTTCATTGAGAATTATGAAGATACTCAAAAATGGCTGACTGAGACTGAAAATAAAGTGAGGAAAGAGAATGAGCTGAAGGCTACCCTCCAAGAGAAAAAGGTTCAAGTGCAAAATCAAAAGGTAAATCAGATATCTGGGGTTCCATGTGCTCAGATCTTGCACATATCTGAAGATGTTAGTATTATAATTCTCTCTCTCTCTCTCTCTCTCTCTCTCTCTCTCTCTCTCTCTCTCTCTCTTCTGAGTGCAATTCATTATTCCTCACATACATATTCTATGCTTAGAAACTGCACCCTGAGCAAATATAACATGCCTATGCCAACACCAAGTCATATATCTTAATCTCTTTCAGATCTTGCAACAGGACATCGAATCTCACCGCCGTCTGCTGGACAATCTGGAAGACAAGGCTTACCGTCTCAGTCAGTCTGGACACCAGCTGACCCACCAGGTGCCAGAACTGAAATCTCAGTACCAGAAACTGATGCAGCATTGCACTGAAAACCTTCACAAGTTTGAGCAACATTTGAGGGACCACCAGGTGTATAGTGACTCGTTCCAAGAGCTCCAGTCCTGGCTGAATTCAATGGAGGACAAGCTGGCAAGGTGCTCAGATCTCAGTGGGGATAAGCATGCCATCAGGAGTAAACTGGACAAGATGGAGGTAGGTGATTTTAGATTTTAAAAAGATTTGTATTATCTGATGAAAGTTAAACTGTGGAGAAGATGAAGTTATTCACATATCTGGTACAGTGTCATAGTGGGCTGTGTTCACTAAGGAGTTACAAAAGAAGTCAATGGCTCTAAAATTATGTGTAGCAATTAAAAAATTTGGAATATGTCAAAGACTTGTATAAGTTTCTAAAGAAATATATCAGTTTATTTCTGTTTTTGTTTCCAATAGTACACTATAGATGAAAACTTGTGCTTTCTAGGACTTGAATCGCCACAGATCTGAAGGAGAGATTAAGCTTGTAGATACTCGCCAATATGCAGAAAAAACACTGACCAATACCTCTTCTACTGGTAAAGAGAAGGTCCGATGTGACCTGGATACTTTGAGTGCTGACTGGGCCACATATACTTCTCAGTTAACACGAACTCAGGGAGAATTAGAGAGTATTGTGCTACAGTGGGAAGAACACGAGGATGCACTCAAGGACATCATGCATTGGTTAAAGGAGAAGGAGGGTCAGGTCAAACAACAGGAACTCAAAGCCACCCTGGTGGAAAAAGAGACCCATTTGGAAGAACTGCAGGTCAGTAGAATTATCCCATAGAGATTACAGTTACAAATGTTTCTTCACTCTGAATTTCTTTACAGTATTTGAACCATCTCTCTCCTCTCTCTCTCTCTCTCTCTCTCTCACTCTCTCTCTCTCTCTCAGTTATTTCTTTCTGTGGGTTGATGATAAAAGCTTTTTTGAGACTTCCAGTGATTCCTTCAAGTATATATACCTATAAAAACTTTTCTTCTTTTTTTCTTCTTCACTACATGTATTTAATTTGATTTTCAGGTTCTCAGTCGTGATGTTGATGGGTTTCAGTCAGAGATTCAAGAATTTGGTGACAACTGCCAGTCACTGATGCAAGTCAGCAGTGATGGCAGAATACACACTAACATTACTCAGGTTACCACCAGATATAACAATCTGGGTTCTACTATCAGAGTAAGTAGATTCAGATTTTTGAATGAATCTTCTTTGTTTTTCTTTTCAAACATATTCATTTGATTGATAGGACACAGTGTACTTATCGAGATATTATTAGTGGTTCCATTTATAATGTGTTTATCACCTTTGCAGGGAAATTATCTAATATCTAATGACAGAGCCCCCCTGCAAAAAAAGAATAACGTCATTTTGATTGTAATAACATTGACTTTAAAACCACATTTTTATCTCCAAATATTGCTTTAATTAAGGGTCTTATTGAGAAGTGGGATCATATGGTATCGGATCACCAGGATTACGAGGGAAAGCTAATTGACTTTGTTGACTGGGTGAATGCTGCTAAAGACAGAATGAACAGCAATGTGGATACATCTGGAGACAAAGGTGAACTGGAAGAGAGGAAGGCTGTACTTCAGGTAAACCTCAAAGTAAAATGAGTTCTGTGTGTGGTACATTTGAAATAAGTGATATTCTCTCAGTTTGGATGTTGAAATGCACTTCTCATAGACCAAAGATTTGCTTTGATATCTTTTTCAAATTAATATTTTAGTTTTTAGAATATGCACATTTATTGTTTTGCAGAAAGCAATGGTTATCTTATAGTACTTCAGGTAATTTATGGTTTTCATCTGATATATTTCAAGGAAATAACGGCTGAGAGAGAAGAAGGTCTCATGAAGTTGAATGCCCTCAGTGAGTCTGCAGACAAGCTGTACAAAGACACCGCTGCTGCAGGACGTGAGAAAATACGACAGCAGGTTCGAGATGCCAAAGAGGACTGGGACCATCTCTTCACAGCCATTAGTGATGCTCAGCATAAGTTTGAGACTGTCTTGATGCAGTGGTCTTCCTTCAGCGAGAGTCGGCAGCAGATACAGAAGTGGCTTGTTGAAGCCGAAATGGCTGTTGCCATGGATACTGAAGTGAAGAACACACTGCATGAAAAGAGAGGACAGCTGCAGCATCATAAGGTGAGATAAAAAAAATGTGAAGTAAAAAAAGAAAAAAAAACTTAAAATTATAAAAATGTTATAATTAAATAGAGACGGTTAACACGATGAGGGGTTATAATTAAATAGAGAGAGTTAACACGATGAGGGGTATTTATTACAGTTCAAAATGAATTTAATTAATGAATCTGTAACATTCATATTTACTTATTACCCATTTAATGCTGCAGTTTACACTGTGTTATTTAATTTTAGACTCTTCAGCAAGATGTCAGTGCCCACCAGCGTGTGATAGAGACAGTGGTTCAGAAGGCCCATGTTGTGGTCCACAGCAGTGGTAACCCCGAGGTGGAGAGGTTCATCACAGACACACAGGACAGGTACCAGTCCCTGGTCACCAGAGTCAAGGTGAGATTTAACTAAAAAACTGAATTACCAAGGTTACATGGTCACATGGGCACATCTTACCCAATCAGGAGCAGTGTAGCAGCACTCTTATGGAAATCCTAGTCAGGGAACTGACTTTAGGTTTTTTGTAAAACTGGCCAAGGAATCCTAAGCCAGGGAATTGACTTAAGGTTTTTTTTTGTAAAACTGGGGCCTGATGTATATTTATTTATCAGGGGTGAGATTTTTTTGACTGTTGGGAGATTTCTGACTTTTTGGGAGCCAAAAATATCATTGGCGTAGGTGGTCCCCTGGACTCCAGGCCATATTTTCTGACTTTTATACTAAAGAAAACTGATCCATCAATAATAAGCACTAAGAGTCTTTTTTATGTTGAAATGTTTTTTTATTCTTTCTTATATAAAATGACCAAAAAATTGGTTATTTGGTCAAGGCCTTTTAATGAAGGGTTGAAACATGCAAATATATGGCAATTAACTTTTTTACCAAAAACTTCTTTGATGGATTTTTTTGTCAGATTTAAATAAATACTATTTTATTGACACAGATTGTAATGTAGCTGATTTATATGACTTTTTCCATATAATTTACTGTGAAATTGATAAGAGCTGCACTGTATTTATGTAATAGGAAACATAGAATATGAATTTATAGTTTAAGATATAGAGTAAAACACATCATTAATAGTGTAAGAACACATTGAATGTTGACAGTACCCTCTGTTGCTAAGATACGGAGTATCATGCGTTTCCAAAGTTTAAACAAGTAAAGATAAAGGAATACCCCCTTGTAGCTAAACATTTAGGTCACATTCCATCGGTGCTGCAGTTTTAAAATTGATTTTTAAAAGATGAGTGTATCAGCGCCTTTTACAATGTCGAGGATTCTGTTATCACTCTCTGCAAATACGCCCAATAAGGTGTACATTTCATTCATAACTTCATTGATTTAAATGGCAACAACAGAGCTATGTTTCTCTTAGCCGGAGTAATGGGATCTTTTTTGCAGACCCAGTTGCAGAAGGCACAGCAGACGGTAGATGATCACCAGCAGTTTGAGGATGCTCACCAGGCAGCATGTGACAGCTTGAGTCTGATGAAGGACAGGCTTGCCATGTGTGCAGACGTCATTGGGGATAAACACACGCTTCAGAGTAAACTGGACAGACTGCAGGTAATTGCACAAGATAATTTGTAGCTTAAATGAATGAATTTTTTGTACTGTATAGCTTGCAATTTTATTTTTGTTGTGATCAAATTTTACAAATATCACTCACTGCTTATATATTTGATATAGAATGGTTATGCATGATGTTTATCTTGTAAAATCTCATTTTTCCATTGTACCACTATTTTATTTATATATTTATTATGTTTGTGTAAAAATTTTTTTGATATGAATAAGCATATTACTTTAGCATATCCCATATTGATAAAAATTACAATTTACATAATATCCACCTATTCCATAAGCTTTCCTCTTTTCAAAGGCTTTTCTTATAACGAAAATGAATAAAAATTGCAGGACTTGACTGCCTCAATGTCTGAGTGTGAAGCCAAACTTCAGGCCTGTAGGACCAGTGCTGACAAGACAATGGCCAGTTCTGGCCACGCTGGACAACAGGAGGTTCAGCAACAGATAGACGCTCTCAAGCTGGACTGGGAGAAACTGATAAACAGCACTATGGATGCCAAGGTAAGAAGTTTTTTTGTGTGTGTGTGTGTGTGCGTGTGTGTGTGCGTGTGTGTGTGTGTGTGTGTGTCTGTGTGTGTGTGTGTGCGTGCATGCATGCATGTGTGCCTGCGTCTGTTTGTGTGTGTGTGTGTGGTCACTTGACACTTGAAATTAAAGCAACAGTCAGCAAATTCTGCAAAACAGTGATTCTTATAATAATGATGATGATGTTGATGACAGTAGTGAAGTAATGAAGAATAAGAATGAGATAAGTGAAATGGCAGTGATATTTGTGATGAAGTAATTCAGATAATCTGATGGTGATGGGTGATGACAACATGTACTTTTGACCAAATCTAATCGTGATATTTTCAGATCCGCCTGGAGGATGCTGTTCAAATGTGGGTACGATATGAAGAACAGTATGACCACCTCTCTCACTGGCTCAAGGATATGGAGAGAAAATTGAAGGAGTTTGGTCCACAGTCCACACTGGAGGAAAAGAAGCAACAGCTGCAGAAATATCAAGTAAGCTATTTGTACCATTTTTGAGATTCTAGGATAATCTTTTGAAGACAAGTTCTGCATTTTTTATCACAAGAAAAGAGTGGATAATATAATTTGTGTACTTATATTAAGCAGTTAATATTATTTTAGTGATATCACTGTATGGTAAATTGCAAATTAATTTGCTGCTTTTATTCTATCATGGTGACTTGTAGGATATGGTAGGCAGTTTGGAATTAGCTGGTATTTTTTCAATTTAGTTTTTGCCATTTTTGTACCCCTTGTTTTTATTTATGGATTTTTTTTCTTGTGACATGTTTGTTTTTTATCAAAGAATTCCTTTACACTTTATGTCAGTTGTCGGACCTTTTGAGGAATATCATTTCAAAACACATTCATAAAACCCCCTCTTATTTTAAAACACTTCCCTAAGTGTATAAGCAGTTCTGTTTGATTTAGATTTTATTTGGCTTTGCATTTTATTTTCATTTCCATTTCGTTTTGAGTTTTGAGGGTTGCAGTGTATGTGTGTGTGTGCATTCTTGTATTTGCTATGACTTCTGCCTCTTTGTTTGCCGCGTCAAGGTGTATTATCAGAAACGGCAGGAGGATGACTCCATGGTTTTAGAGGATATGGGAAGTGAAGGGGAACATGTAAGAGCTATAGCACTGTGTAGAGCAGAATAGAATACCCTTCATTATGGAATAGATGCAGTTTATATTATATATACCCTGTGCTTACTTGTCCTAGAAAGTCTTGCTTTTCCTTTAAGTGGTGTACACATTTTACAGGTTTTAGAAATCCTGCTTTCATTGTTTAACCAGTTAGTTGGGATAGGTGTGCACCTTATCAGGAAGTTAATTATTTGTGCACGTGAAAGTATATGTTTCTTATTATTTGCTGCAAATTGTTTATAGTACCCACAATAGCTTGTGTGTTGTGATGCAAATGCGCTTTTTGTCTTTTAACACAAAAATTGTTTTTCATTGGTGCAGGGGCTGCTTTAAGTTCATGTACAATTTTTTAGCAAATGTAGTCAACCACCTTTCAAATTCTTTTGTACCCAGGGTCTATCCCCTTACCCTCTATCCACTTGATAGCAGATTATGTTATATTATAAAAATTGCAGATTATGTTATATTATAAAAATGCTTTATTTTCTAGCAGATTATTTACAACCGTACAAGTGTTTTATGTACACCCCCAATATGTTATTCATGATTTATATACTCTGAAAATATTGTGATTTCTATTCTTAAATTGCTTAAGTATCAAAAATTGATCCTAAAAGAATTTTTTAATGACTCGGGAATGTCTTGGCATAAAGATGCGGAGAATGGAATGGCTTTATGTTGTATGTGCCAGCTTATATGGGAGCATGGGTTGCTTTGTAATTTTGAAATTGATGAATTGTAAGCTAAGATTAATGATGAAACGGATTTTGGAGATACTTTTAAGATTTTTTTCACTACGCTGGAATGGAGGTTAATTTTTTAAAAGTGTAGGATACAATCTATCATTTTGACAGTCAGTCATTATACTCAATTCAGCTGGATGATATTAAGGTGTCAAGGTAAATTTACTTTTCATAAAGTGAGCCTGTATTTTTAATTTCTATATGACAACTTACAAATTAAATATTCCTAGGTCCACCAACAGACTATAAGAGCCCACCAGGCTGAGATTGATGAGTTTGCTGACCATGCTCAAACTTTAGCGCAAACCACTTCTGAGACCAGAGTGACCACTCAAGTCTCTCAACTGACCTCCAGATACCAGTCCTTACTGACCGCTGTGAAGGTAAGTGATAGTATCTGTGTCCGTGGTGAATATTTTATGAAAAATTGACAAATACACGTTAAAGGCTTGGGCATTTATAGTGAGAATCTTTATGTTTATTTTGGTTTTAAGGAGCGACATTTTCAGGCTTTATCAAAGAAATTGCTTGCTCATTGAAATGATGCCTACAAGGCCTGCTAACCAAATGAAATTTTCCACTCATGATAATGTAATTAATTTTTATATCCTCATGTGTATTTAAAGAATTATAGATAATAACTTTGTCTTTAAATAAAATAGTGCTTCAGTTGAGAATATCCGTGCAGCAGATGTACAACAATGTTGCTTTCCATTATCGTAGGAGATTGTGAAAAAATGCGAACAGAACGTGTTGGACCACCAGGTGTTTAATGAGAAGTGCGAGGAGTACCGAACATGGCTGAAGGCTGCCAAGAACAAACTGGAGCTGTGCTCTGATGTCTCTGGGACCAGGAAACAGATAGAAGAAAAGGAAGCCAATATCCAGGTAAACAAAAAAATTATCTGGCTGTTGTACTTCCCTGAAATAACATTGTATGTCTCTCTGTAATTTAATACTACCTGTTTGGTCTCAGTAGTTTAAATATTGTAATGAGCTGGTTATGGTTGGGGCGGAAGTTTGGATGCTAATTCCGACCTCCACATATTCCGCTTTTTCATTTGTTTGCCCCCCATGGAGGTAAGATTGTTTCAGGATTCATAAGATCCAAAAAGAAAAAACATAAATTGTAAAGCTGATCTGTGTAGAAAGGATAACAACCTTTACTTTTTACCTTTTATACATTCTCATTACATAAATGTTACGTATTTTATGCCTTAATTAAAAGCAGTGTACCTCGCAGTTAATATGTATTTTAAAATATTAGAATATCTGAAAGTATTTGGTATTGTATGTGTATATTTTATCATTCTTCATACGAATATTGTATTCCCTACAGGAGCTTCAAGTGGAAAAAGAAACTGGCTTCAGCAAATTAAACCATGCCATCGAAGCAGGAGAGAAGCTTTACCCAAACACTGCTACTGACGGGAAAGAATCCATCCGCCATGACATTCGTAACATGAAGTCTGGATTTGAGAAACTTTTCGACGAGGTAGTGACCACACAGAGAAGACTTGATGGTAGCCGAGTCCAGTGGTCATCATTTGATGATAGTGTGACCACTCTGAAGCTGTGGGTACAAGATATGGAGAATAAGGTGAAGGCAGAACTGGTGCTCAAGTCTACACTGGAAGAAAAGAAATCCCAACTTATTTCGTACAAGGTATGTATATGTGTAAGATTTTGTTGACCAGGTGATGGTAATTCATTTTCTTTATTAAACTTTTCTTTGAGGGGATATAATTATAAATAATTGCATATTGCACTTTTTTAAGTCATATAGGCCAGAAAAATAACTTATTTAGACATATGGTTACATGAGAAGTATTCTGATCATCTAGTTTTAACTATAAATGGTTCATCCTCTTTGAAGTATTTGGATTTTATTAGTACCACCAGCGTGTACACTGGTGGTACTCATAATTTTAGCCCAGCCCCTTTCATTTGACTTGACCATGCTATTTGTCACCAGAGCTTGCAGCAGGACATCCAGGCGTACCAACGTGTGGTGGACAGTGTCCGAGATAAGGCCCAGTCTCTTAGTGACAGCACCAGTGATCCTCATATTACACAGCACATGGCACAGCTTACCGCAAGATACCAAGAGCTATGTGTGGCAGCCAAGGTAATGGATTCCTAGAAATACACAATTATAATCCCCTGTTCTATCAGGCAGACTTGACTGAAAGTTCTAAGTGGATAAAAACACAGTTGGAACCTTTTTCATCATATTGTTATGCCTTTGTGGCCGAGTGCTTTATGAAGGTACAAAGAACACAATACTCTGGTGTAATTCACATAAAAGCATAAGAAAAGACAAAAAATATCTTGCTGTAGCATCAGAAGAAGAGCAAAGAGCTCTAATAGCGTAAGAGCCAAGAGACCGATTTATTTCAAGGCACAGCTTATATATATGTTCAGCTAGTACAGGTATACCAATCGGAACCAATTATACAATAAACAGTATTACCTTTAATTCACCAATCACAAGATAGATTCAAACTTGCACACCGCACTATATTTTACTTATAGAGACATCTACTGGTAGCAATATAAAACAATCTCAACTAACACAATACATCGTCACAATATATGGGAATAAATATCCTATTGAAATATGAAATGTTAACTTTATAAATGAGCTCTCTGTGAAGGTTTAAGCACTACAAAATTTTTAAAAGGGGAGGAGAGGATAAAAGTCACGGCAATGTACCTGTGCCAAACAGAGTCAGTTACAAGGTAATGTGTCTGTTAAAGAATTTCCAGTGAAGTAATTTTATCTTTTACAATTGCAGGAACTTGTCCACAAGTATGAGACGATAGTTTCTGATCACCAGCAGTACTATGACTCGTCCTCCAGTTGTCTGGACTGGCTGGAGGCTATGAAAGAGAGGCTGGCTCTGTGTGATGATGTCACAGGGGACAAACATGCCGTACAGAGTCGACTGGATAGACTACAGGTAAAAGATCAGATGCTATGTTGATTTTTTAATGTATTTTATGTGTATGGTGTTTTATATGTATTGGATTGTTTTAAAATGGAAAAACTCAAGAAGTAGTATATATTCACAGTTTTTCTTTCTAATATATATTGTCCAAATTTAAGATGGTCATTAACACTCACAAACTAGACATTTCAGTTGATAGTTTTGTTAACATCATAGGTATTTCTCCATCAAGTAGTGCGATACTTTGTAGTTGTTTACATAGTTTCTGTAGATTTTAAGTTAGTCATATGGTAACTAAATCTTATATGTTTTTCTCTACTATTTTACATAATTTTGTGCAAACTTTTACTCTTGCATGTGTAGGATAGATAAATTATCTTATCTTTTAACTTAATCCATCTTTCAGAAAAAATATAAATATGTAAGATAGGATTTTGAGTACATTTATTCAGTTTACTTATCCTCCTTATTTATTAAGCAGCATGAACAATTGCATGTATGTATTTTTAACTTCTTCAGTGCTTTTAGTATCTTTCATTTTTATTTTACAATAGAACCTAGGATAATGCATTAGTCAACATGGAGCTAACACATTTTTCTCTTTTGTTCTTTTATTTCTTTGTTTGTTATGTTGGTTAAACAGCGGCGTTTTGTAAGTTTCTCGGTTTGGAAGTTTGACTTGTATTGGCTTGGATGGTTATGGCTTATTTACTGTAAGGTGCATGTGCTAATTCTGATGATTTCAAATGCCATCTAAACATGGATATAGTCATGAAATTAGCAGTTTTGTAAAATTTTATTTGAAAAGAAGCCAACTTTTTTGACAAAATTTTGACTAATTATGTAAGTTCGCTTTCCTAATTTAAATTGTTCTTTTGTGGCATGACTCCTTTGTAGATTAGACTATTTTAGAATATAGGTTTCTGAAAGTCAGTAAAGAAAAAAGATCCCTGCCCACCCACCCACCCACCCCTGCTGGCTTATTCCCTAGATAAAATTTTCATGTGTAGCATTATGGTCCCCCTTAAAAAAACATATTATAGTCAGAATTAGCACATAATTGATTAATTGGAGATTATGTTGGATTTGTTCAAATGGTATGATTTTTGCTACATGATTCCATTATAAAACAAAGCATTGCCGTGATTACTGGTTATTATAAGTTGTATTGCTGTTTGAGTCTTGCTAGACTAAATGTATGGAATGGTAACATTGACTTGGATGCTGTGCTATTTAAAGTTGGAGTGATTCAGCATTCCTGGTCATTTGGCATGAAGTGATTGACCATAAAAGATGATGTGGAATAGCCATGTTGAATGCCAGAATGATCAACCGTTTGAAACATTTGAAATTAATATTTTTTGTGATAATTTTACCATTAAAAAAGGTAAACTTCCCAATTTTGAATTCAAAGGTGTACAAATGGAAAAGTTACCAGTTTTGGCAATTTTCTAAAACAGGTAAAGTAACATTACGAGGGTAAACATATCTGCTTTCTCTTTAATGAAAAAAAAAATGTGTTTTAAAAGGGTGTCATTGGTCAAGTTTATGATTTCTTCTTAAATGACCTTCTCCAGGACATCTTGGTGCTAAAGATGGAGGGAGACCCCAAACTGGCTGGAGTCCAGTCTGATGCTGAGAGGGTCATCCCATTCACTGTCACCCATGGTCAAGAAGCTATAAAGAGAGACACAGAGGAGCTGAAGACTGACTATGACAACTTTGTAACCAAACTAGAGCAGGTAAGAATAAAGTGCTTCTTCAGAGATTGTTTCCATTGCTTTGGTTACTTTGATAACTACAGTTAGGCATTTGTCTTTTCTGTTCTAACAAGCATAAAAGTCTCATTCTTTACATTACTGAAAATAGCTGGATTTCATAGCCATTGATGTGTTTAATATAGTTAAGAATAATCATGCTTTTTTTGCAGATTAGGGTGTATTTAGTACACAGCATCAAAGTAAACTTTTTTTACGTTTGTCCTGTTGACTGTGTGTGCATGCATGCGCACATGTGTAGCATGTATAGCAAGTACATATTACAAACTATAGTGTAATGTATAACACTGTCTTCCATTCTAGACAAAGACAGACCTTGAGGACTGCTTGCGCCATTGGCAGACATTTGAGGACAAGTATGACACCTGCTCTAACTGGGTCAAGGAGATGGAGATGAAATTGAAGACAGTAGAACTGGTGGGAACACAGAGAGAAAAGTCGGCTCAACTGGAGAAACTGAAGGTATGCTGCAGTGTCTTCTAAATAATGATGTATGGGAGATATGTATTGCGCATGTAGAGAAATCAAAATTTGATTTTAGTAGGAAAAATATGAACAGTGCAAATTCTCTCTCTCTCTCTCTCTCTCTCTCTCTCTCTCTCTCTCTCTCTCGTTCATCTCCTGTCCTTCAAATTCTTTATTCATCGCAGTCTTAATATTAAGTCGGGCCTAATCAGATGCAGCTAGTAATCAGTTATCATCGTTTTGAATCTTACCCCCTTATTCTCTGTTCTCTCTCCCCAGGGCTGGCAGGAAGAGGTGTCCCTGTACCAGTTACAGATAGACAACTGCTGTGACTGTGCCAGTACACTGAGCAGGCTGAGCACAGACTCCAGGGTCAGCACTCAGGCCTCCCAACTCAACCACAAGTATCAGGCTCTCATTATCACTGTCAGGGTAAGATTCTGTTAGATTGTAGGTTTTATTCAAAATAATAATAATAATAATAATAATAATTTTTTTTAAAATAATAATAATAATAATAACATTAAAAATAAAAATGAGTACTCTGAGAGTAATAGGCCTTTTGCAGCTAGACAGTAAAGAGAAGAATGCTGGAGAGAAAGCTCTTCAGTAAACAAAAGAAGTCAGCATCTAGTCATCTAGCTGGAAAAGGCCTATAGTTGATGGTGGAAATCTTACCTTAAAGAGACCATTACAATAACAAGCTGAATGTGGCCACTGCATCTGGGTGACAATGGAAACTTCCAGAGACAGGTTTATTGTTTAAGTAAAACTTAAAATATCTATGACTTAGGTATGAATACCACACAATGTGTCTGTGTCATCATTTTGTATGTTTTCTAATACAGGAGACTGTACGTCGCTGGGAGCAGTTTGTCATTGACTGCCAGCAGTATCAAGATGCCAGAGAGAACTGCCTGAAGTGGCAGGCTGTTATCAGAGAGAAGCTGGCCAAGTGTAGTATTGGTGCTGGGGACAAGAAAGCCATTCAGGAGAGACTGGAACAATTGAAGGTAAAAGGGGAAGCTTTTAATAATTTGCGACACTGGTTCTGGTAAACCTAAATGAAATCTAAGTGTGATGTCTTGAATGAAGCTTGTACCAGTACTACTCTGAATGGATCAGATGTCAAAGAACTGTATAGATGTATTCCAAAAAAGAATAATTTTCTAAAAACATTTAATGAATTTTTTGTCCTCAGGAGTTGGCAAGCAACAGGGACCAAGGTTTCCGAAAAATTCAAGCTGTGACCGATGCTCTACAGCTTGTCTTGCCAAACACGTCACCTATAGGACGGGACAACTTGCGTAGAGAGCAACAGTCACTGCAGGAAGACTGGGACAGTTTGGGAGCTAGCGTGAATGATGCCAAGACCAAACTGGAGAGCTGTATGACACAGTGGTCAGTGTATGATGACAGCACTGGTCAGTTACTCAAGTGGCTGACTGAAATGGAGACTTCTTTGAAGACTGAATCTGACCCATGCAGCACTTTACCAGAGAAGAGGGCACAGTTAGAGAGATTAAAGGTAGAGTAGTGTTTTAGTTAATAAATTTATTATTGGCACAATCCTTCAATTTATTAATTTGATTTAAAATTAAGTAGTAATAGTTAATTATGAATTATGAACTTTGAAAATTAGGATTTTTGAGATTACTTGTGATAAATATGTAACCGTATGTCAGTGAAAACATTATAACATTCCTCTTTAGACATTAAGTATTCTTTCCTGTTCAAAAATGATAGGAAAGTTGTAAATTGCTTTTAGAAAGACTAAACATGTTTTTTACCTATGAGACATGACATATTGATCCTCCATCAAAGGGTCTTGAAAACGAAGACTTGCAAATTTAGTCTCTTTAGAAATGTTTCACTGCCTTTAGGTGGGAACTTTTATTACTATCACTAGACAAAATTGAAAAACTTATTTCACTGACAAATAATGTTGTAATTTATTATTTCTTTCTTTGTCTAAATACTGTCACTATGTTTATTCCAGTGTACGTTTCCAATATTAAATTTAATGTCCAATTACAGGCAGTACAGTTGACCATCAACAGTCAAAACAGTGCCATTGACAGCCTCAACTCCAAAGCCCAAGCACTGAGAGAGGATGCCAGTGATGATCAGCTGACATCCAAAGTCACAGAGATTGTCTCCAGATATGAGGCATTAGCAACCAGTGCAAAGGTGTGTATAGTGGGACCTGTTTCATTAAAGACCTTAAGCCCATAAATTTGGTTTTAACTTTTAAGACCAACATTTTAGTCTACATTGACCTGAGATTAAACGGTAGTATTCCAACCTATCGTGTCTGTTTTACAATGTTTTAGACCAGTAGTTACTTAATTTAAGTGGACTGCTATGGATTTTTCTGGAACTGAATCTTAGTTAATTTTGGACTATAGCTCATTTGTGAAGCCAGTCCCTTTCTTTAATGACAAATAGTATAATAATTCTAGTCTTACAGATATCTAAATAATTTTAGTAATTGAGATGTATTTAATTTTTTCATAGGAGCAAGTAAAGAAATGTGAGAGATCAGTTCTCGACCATCAGAACTATAAAGATGCACACACAGAAGCTGTGAACTGGTTGAACCACATCAAGGACAAGCTAGCCGTCTGCAGCGGGGTTCACACGGACAGAACAGGGGTAGAATCCAGTGCACACAAACTACAAGAGATTATGGACTCAAGGGAAGCTGGCGCAGAGAAAGTCCACATTGCTTCCCAGAAAGCTGAGACTGCGTCTGCCACCACATCTTCTAAAGGGCAGCAGATTATCCAGAAAGAGCTCACTGCACTGCAGGAGGATGTGGAGGCCACTTTCTCTTCTGCGCAGGAACTACAGTTAAATCTAGGTATGCATTTATTGTTGATGTTTAATATTAATTGCTTACATTACTGCATCTATACAACTTACATATGAAGTGGATTGATATGATATTTCATTATTTAAAATCTTCAAAGAAAAACTAACAGAAGAAAATTTCTGATTTTCTTATCAATCCCTCACCCATTAACAGTGATCAGATGTTATTAAGAAAACATGAGTTTAAATTAAATTGACAGCATTTCTTTAGTATTGAAATTCATAATCTACATGTTTTTTTCTTTGGCAATTTCAGAGGAGCTGTGTATTAGGTGGAGTGACTACATAGACCAGTATGAGCAACTTAATGAGTGGGTGAAGGAGCAAGATATCAAACTGAAGGCAGATACTGACTTTAAGGCTAATTTAGAGGAGAAAACGATACAGTTAGAAAAACAAAAGGTATTTCACTTGGATGTTCATTTGAGGATGTTTCATGTAGTGAATGAACATGTATTATCATAATTTTGATAAAGAAGGAAATCTTTTCTAAACGGACTATGAACATGTTTTCTACCTATGAGACATGGTTTTTTATCATCATTATCCAGGAGAATGGAAGTCTTTTTTCACCATATAATTACTTTTTATCTTTCAAGACTTTATAGTAGAATTACAGACAAAAACTGCTTAAATTAGGAAAACATTGGACTTTTTCACCTCTACAGCACATTAAATGATATAATTGTCATTTCAGTCAAAATATGAGGACATAGTGAAACATCAGCCTGTCTTTGATGCCCTGAGTGAGAAGGCACAGAGTATAATGCAGTCAACTACAGATACCAGGATCAGCACTCAACTCATGCAACTTAATTCTAGATATGCCACACTCACAGCACTGTCAAAGGTAAATATGTGTATTATTTGACAAATGCACCTAGAAAAAGAAAAATGCCCCTAAATTTCCAACTTTTAGTGAGCCAAAAATATAATTTTTGTAATCAATGCAAATAGCCCATGGACTCCACACACAATATTCTCAGACTTTTTCACTAAATGGCAATCTCGTCCCTGGATTCCATTAATTAGACCCATTGATCTGTTGTAGGATATGATAAAGAAGTATGAGCAGCAGGTTCAGGTACATGTTCAGTACCAGCAGTGCCGTGCTGAGTTCACCACCTGGCTGGAATCTGTGGCCGAGAACCTGGACACGTGTGCTGACACTTCTGGAGACAAGGACACCATTCAGTCACAGATTGATAAACTACAGGTAAATGTTGTGTTGGCTGTGTCTTTACATTTAGTTTTACATTTAGTTTCATTGGTTTTTAACTCAAGTTGGGTTTTCAAGGACTTTCTTACGTAGGAGAATAGGTGAAGCTGAGGATCCCCTTCATGTTATGTTGCTGGAATTGATCATTGTTAATTTGCAATTATATATTAATAGCCTTCCTTCTTTTATTTCATATAAGATTGTACATATTTTTTGAAAAAAAATTGGAAAAGGGTACAAACTTGCAGTTTTCTAAAGACAAATGAATGTTTATGTGTATCCCATTTTTATAAATATTTTAACAGGAGTTTGCAGTTGTGAAAGAAGAAGGCCACTCACTGCTCCACACAGCCAACACCTGGGGGGACAAGGTACTGACCACAACCTCTGTGGATGGAAGAGAAAATATCCGGCGAGAGCTAGGGGCTCTACAGAGAGACTGGGATGCTTTTGTGGCCCGCATCAGTGACACAAAAGTGACACTGGAGTCTTGTCTCCTTCAGTGGAGTGACTATGACGACAGCTTGGGACAGATAGAAAAATGGCTGTCAGATAATGAGGTCAAGGTCAAGGATGTGGCCCTGAACTCTGACATTGGTGAAAAGAAGACACACCTTCAAAAGATAAAGGTATTTTAAAAAATATATATATATGGCTCATGTATCAACTATTCCTCCCAAAAAATTAGTTTTCAATTAAAAGGAAATAAATGCTTCATTAAAGGACTGTTTGTTAGTTTTCAGTATTTACAGTACAAAATTTTTTGTTCTTTCCAGAATTTGACCCAGGACATTATAGCTTATGAGCAGATGGTGGACTCTGTGAGTTCCAAGGCACAGGAGCTGGGGCAAAAGAGTCCCCGCAGCAAGGTGACGTCCCGGGCAACACAGATCATGACCAGATATGAAGCCCTTGTTGACACAGCAAAGGTCAGAAATTAATTCGTGAAGAAGAATTGAATTAAAAAAAACCCCGGATAAATCCCACATTTACAGCTTCAGTTTCATTCAAGTGTTTAAATCAGTTTGATTAAAAAAAATACTTTTTTTCAACCAGTGTGATCTGTTTCTTTTCTCATTTTATCTGTATTTATTTTGTAGAATGCAGTGAAGAGAGCTCAGGAGGTGGTGGATGACCACCAGACCTATCACGAGGCTTGTTCTGCATTTGCATCATGGTTACGGACTGCTCAAGAGAGGTTGTCTGCATGTTCTGATGCATATGGGGAGAAATCTCTGGTCATGATGAAGAAAGATAAGATAAAGGTATGTAGTTATTATTTCTCTTATGATTTTACTTGCATTTGATAAAAAAATACCATTTTTTGTTCTAGTCTACCCATTCAAATAATTTAAAAACAATAAAAAATAATATGTTATGATATTTAGACTGCAAGTTATGCAGTGGTATAAATGTATATACATTTTTTGTGTTTGTACTTTTGAAACTACTTTTGTAGTTTATAGAAAAAATACAATATCATTGAATATGATTCATTCAAAAAGCTATTGAATTATAAGTCACTGATATGAATGCATATCTCTAAAACAGGAACTGGAGAAGAGTATAGCAGATGGCAACGACAAACTTTCCAAAGTGTCATCTGCTGCCGATGCAGTCCTGCACAACACGTCGTCTGCTGGACAAAACCGCATCCAGCAAGATCTGGCCACCATGACACAAGAATTGGAAGACTACCGTTCAGAAGTGACCAAGGCCCAGTCTGGTCTGGAGACCTGTTTGGACAGATGGGGCACTTACGAGGAGGCCCAACAGAAGTTCTTAGACTGGCTGAAAGACATGGATGTTCATTTGAGAAAAGAACTGGAGCTGAAGGCTACCGTACAGGACAAGAAGGCACAACTCGATGAATACCAGGTATGGACTCAAACTCATTTTCAACAGCTTGGAAAGGAGAACAGCAAATTGAGAAAGCATACATTTGTAGACAGTGTTAAAAAGTGGTTAGTTGCTCTTCCATGTTGCTATAGAGAAAATAGATTTTGATGACATATATTCATGTATACCAGTGATTTTGATTCAAATTTTACACAGATTCCTCATTTTTTCTGCATTTGGTCATGCACTATGAAACAATAAGTAACTAGCACAAGGCTCACCAAGTTACCAAAACAAAACACCATTTTGTCCAGAACCTCACTTTGACCCACATTTTTTCCAGTCTCAGCACCAGGACCTGGTCTCCCACCAGCTGCACTTGGACGGTGTCAGCCAGAAGGCACAGGCTCTGCTGGAGACCAACCCAGATGCCAAGATCTCTCATGGTATTACTCAGCTCACCACAAGGTATCAAACAGTGCTGGCAGCATCCATGGTGAGTACAGGGGAATTACACTCTGGGTTTTCGAGAAAAAAAGTGATGGGGTTACAGTTTGTGTGTTGTTATATACGGCACCTGGTTTTTATTTTTTATTTTTGTGTATTTATTAATATATCTCTTGTTTATTCTTTTATTTGTAACCAAATACTGAAGCATTTGTGAAGTATTTGAATGCTACCTGAACTTCTGGATATCTGTATTAATATTATATAATTTATTTATCTGTAAAAACTATACACATTAGAACCAAATTTGCCATTTAGACTAGCAGATTTTACATTAAAATTATTTGAATAAATGCTCACTTTTGACACAATTTTACCAATTTCAGGAGGTTATCAGAAAACTAGAGTCAAACTTCACCGATCATGAGCAGTATAGAAATGCTTACCAAGATTGTGAAGACTGGATTTCTCTCACTAGAGGTCGCCTGGAGGCCACTCAAGACACCACAGGGTCAAGGCATGATATTGAAGAAAAGTTGCATAATTGCAGAGTAGGTGTCAAAGGTTTATTTTGAAAGTCCTGTAAAATGATTATTTAATGAATATATATAAATTTGCCCAAAAATAAATAAAGAAAGAAAGAAAGAAAATAAAAATATGAATTTTTTTATGTAAATTATGTATGCACAAGTAACATGTGAAGATGAAAAAGGAATGAATATACATATATTATAATTCAGGATCTGCAAGCATCCTTAGATCAGGGCCAGAGCATGCTGAGAAGTGTTATTGATCTAGCAGAGAAAACCAAGCCTAACTCTAATGCACAAGGGTGCCAAACCATAAGGGAAGATCTGGAAACTTTGAAACATAATTATGAAGGGTTGAAAACAGAAGTTATTCAGGTATCTTGCTTCTGTCCCGCAAATATTATTTCCAATATATAGGTGGGAATACATCTGTATAATAACAAATGAAACTTTGAAACAAATTTGATAAAAAGATTTCAGCTTTTTAGGAATAAAAGCCAAACGCAAATGATTTAGGGTATTCATCATATTTTAAAGCAATTTTGAAAGTAATGATGTGTAATTTAATAATCGAGAAGAAAATTTTTTTTCAGGGTAAAGGTAAACTTGAAAAACTAGTGGCCAATTGGATAGACATGCAGAAAGTCCATGAGCAACTCCTGATGTGGCTTAAAGACACAGAGGTGAAAGTGAAGGCTGACACTGGCTTCAGAAATGATCTTCCAGAAAAAAGGACATATCTGGAAAAATGCAAAGTAAATATATTGATTCTTGATGTTGGATATTTTGATTTTAGATATAAGTTTGTTTTGATTTTGTAGAAAACTATATACTGGTCTATATACTATATACGATCTATCAGCTGACTTGCCCTCACTCTTAAAGGAAACATGAAAGAGATGATTTTAGAGGTTTCGTTCTGTTGAATATCATATAGTTATTTTGCTTATTCTATTAATTTTAGATAACATTTTAATGTTATTGTTTTTTGTCAGATAATTCTGCAGGATGTCAAAGCACACCAGTCCACAGTTGACCAACTAAAGGACAAACTGACCCACATCCAGGACCCAAAGACCAGTGGTCAGATAACACAGACTTGCAATAAATATGATGCTGTGCTGTCTGCCTCCAAGGTAGAGCTGGTCCTTTAAGTTCTTTACTAGAATATAATTATTTCTCACACTTAACCACTGAATTGATTAAGGCATTTTCAGGAAAACTTAATTGGACCTGTTCCAATATGTTGATCCTTTTTGCTGGCTTTGAGATGTCTTGGCATGGAATAATATATCTTTTGTTTTGAAAAGCATTTTCTATCTTTAAATCTGATTGAGTCTAAAAAGGGCATTTCCTCACAAAGAGAACAGATAATTTTGCCAGGCACTCTGTGTCATATTTCAAACGACATTTAAGACATTTATGAAATCTGGTTTTCAGGAGCTTGTTACCAGTCTGGAGACCCAGGTGTCTGACCATCAAGCCTACAGGGAGAGGTACCATGACACCCTCACCTGGCTGGCCATGATGAAACAGAAGCTGAATAAGCTGCATACCTGCTCTGGAAATAAGGAAGATGTTGAGAAGAGATTGGAGAAATTACAAGTAGGCTTACAACATTCTAAGTATTCATTGTGGACATTCTGTCCCTCATTGTTGAATTATGTCATTTATTTGTCAATTGATATAATGTTAATGTTACAGTTAAACTTCTCTCATATTTGACTCAAAAACAAGGAAAAAGAAAACAAATAACAAACAAACAAAAAACACCTGTTTGACTATCATGTTACATTTTTAAAAGCAGTAGAGATACATTAAGAGAAATGGTTGGTGTATTGAATTTAATTCAATGAAATAAAAGCATAAAACAGATTTGACAAAGGGAAAAGTTTCTGACAGCTTACAATGTCTTCTAGGACTTCAGAGAAGAAGCCCAGGATGGTGCCAGCAAGGTGAACACGGTAGTAGAACTAAACGACAAAGTGGTCCTGTGTAGTGCCACTAAAGGCCGTGAATACCTGCAACATGAGGCAAAACAACTCAAACAGGATTGGGAAACCTTCATGGCCAAGGTTGATGAGGTGGAAGGAGTATTGGAAGAATGCATATTGTGCTGGATTGAGTATGAAAACGCTTACAAAATGATGGAGGAATGGCTCGTTGAAACTGAGGCCAAGGTCAAGGCCAAGCAAGAGACTAAGATTATGAACTTGGAAGAGAAACAAATTCTTGTAAAGGAGATGCAGGTGAATATCTTATTGTTATATATTTAAAAAAATACAGTTTTATTTTGAGTTTTCTGAAATGAAAATTTCCTATCTTTATCATAATATTTCCAATACATATGAACTTTTTCAGTTATTTCCTGATAAACTTTATGGCTAGTATAACTTGAGAATCTAAAATTATGTGCAGGTACTACAAGAACAAATTGCTGACCATAAACCAATACTGGACAAAGTCAATGACCGTGCAGAAGAAGTGATAAAATCCAGTACAGATCCAGGCGTTTCCATGGCAATGGTTCAACTGGCATCAAGATACCAGACTCTGGCTTCCATTGTTAAGGTAAAATATTGTGTTGATTTAATATTATGTGTCACAGTTCTGATGTACCCCTATTATATAGGCTTTCTTGCTAAATAGACACATTGAGCTTTTGGCCTTCATATAGCAAATATTAAATTTTCCCAGAGATTTTAACACTTTTCTCTTATCACCATAGAATACCAAATTCAAAACTGTTCACAGAATTACAGTCCATGAGACTGATCAATTTTACTTCTGGTGGTAAAAATGAGAATTTTGGTACCCTTTGAGGGGTTTATAGTTTGCAATTTTCTTTAACATTTAGAACAGGGTAAGCCCTGCATTGGTAGTAAAGGGAAAATTCCTGATATTCCTAGAAAAAGTTTTTTGTATATAAGTGTATAATGCGCATTGTATGCCTTTTAACATATGACATCACCTACTGCAGTTTTGGTCCTTGCATTTTGTAAAAATGAAAAATGCATAAAAATTCTTAAACCTGACTTTGAGAGGATGAAGAAGATCTGATCAGATTCATACTGCAGTAAACCAAGCAAAGTGAATGTTGAGAAAAGTAGGCTTGATATTGGACAGGGCTGTTTGACTGTTCCCTGTTTGCCATGCTAAAAGTACAGTGTTCTGGCATTTTTTGCATCAAACTTATTTGCTTTTAGAAAGCAATGTTCATCATGGATCAATTATGCATTTTGTGATTGAGATTAGAGTAGTGAACTTAAAGGATACCAATAATGGCATCAATCACGTCAAATTTAATCTTTTTCAGGACCGAATAACTGTAAGTGTATCAGGTCGCTAACTGAAAAGGTTTATGTAACCTAATAGTTTACTAAATCTTATATTTTTTTCAATTTGTTCAATGTTCATGTGCATGAAGTTATGATATGACATCCCACAGTTATGTTATGTTAGTCCATACTAACTAAATTCAAAGATTTGTAAAAATAAAATATTCTTAAGAAATATTCTTGAATGCATGATGGATTGAAAAAAAACAGGTCTCCAGATACTAAGATATTTTTGATAGTCTTGGTCTTTCCAACTTATCCATTTTTTAGTCAAATACCATTTGCTGGAAAATTTTGCCAAATCCAAATTTTGTGTCAAACTGAAGTCTAGCAACTTTTGCAAGTCAGCATGATTAACTTTAATTCTTATGTAAGTAGGGAGGCAGGCTGTTCTTGTTCAATTAAAGTATTATTTTGCATGTACAGGTATGGGAAATTCATTCAGGATAGTTTTTTTTCCTGCTACAAAGAAGATTTCTTGTGAAAAACAATAAATAGCATGCTTACTACATATAAACCAAGGCAGTGCATGGAATTTTTATTAACAAGTTTCATAGAAATGGAATTATTAATTATAAGAGAAAGATATGCTTTATTGTATTAGAAAATGAAGTTTGATTAAAAAAATGTATCTTATATTAATGTTAGAATGTGAAGGTCATTTTAGTAATGTCATTCATCTAGGTATTCAAGCTTTGTCTTCATTTTAAGAAATGTAGAGCACAACTTGTAATAGTGTTTTCAAATATTATTGATGTCAAAGTTAGAATGCATTTAACCTGTGAATCTGAAGAACAAAAGATAACATAATGCTGAAAAATATTAATTAATTTCCAAAACCCATTTCATTGTTATTTCTAAACTTATAGGATTCTCTGGAGAAAATGAACCAGCAGACAAGAGACCACAAAGCATTCAAGCGAAGTTATGATGACTGTTTCCATTGGATAGAAGTGACCAATCAGAAACTGGCTTCTTGTAATGATACAAGTGGTGACTGGCATGACATAGAGAATAAAATCAGTAACATCAAGGTATGTACTGAATGAATATAAGCAGGAAATAAATAAACAAGACAAAAGATTTGTTTATGGTATTCTTGTGTGGCATTTGTAAATTTTTTTAAGGTCAAGTGAATTTTAGATGATGATGATGTACAGTGCACTTCATTTTAGTTTTGTAAAAAAGTGGATTTCACCTAACGGGAAAATTTGTACTGTATGTTAATTTAACTTATAGTAATATAGTTATGTGATGGGAAGGTTTGAAAGGCAAACTTATGTTCAAGACATGTCTTTCTTTTGTTTGTGCAAAACAACTTCCTGTCATTATTGTTGTCTTCAGTTATGTGGTTTTATATGAAGTTTAAGTGCTTGTTACACAAAAAGCCAAAGAATTCAAATCATTGTGCCTTTTATTTAGAAATTAGACAATTTTATTGTAATCAAAGAAAAAAAAGGGAATGCAATATTTTTGGTGCTCAAAAATACACAGAGATTAGCCATATCAAACATGCAAATGAACAACATCGCAGCAAGCATTAACAACTTCAAAATAGATATAAACACCATCAGAGCCAGACCACACTCTCTCGAAACAAGGTTTATTTTCCACTTGGGAGCTGGTAATATCAGTGCTCAGTTCTATAGGGAGGAACATTCAAAACAGTCTTGAGAAAAAACATTAACTTCCCATATATAACGCCCAGCTTGTGAGCACTAGTAGCAATCAATTCTAGGAGTAATTACATTTGGGGTGCCCATTAAGTAATGCACCAATACATACCACCTGGACTTAGGCCAGGAAATATGTGAAGGTTCTTACATGGAATGTACATAGATTGCTTGAGGAATATTAACTTGGTATTATGGAGATTGACTAATTTTTCAATGGATTTTTGGCTCTGTAGAGTGAGTATTTATTATTTGTGCTAATGTTGTTATAGGTGAGGTTTTGTTGACCTTGGTAATTTGCATATTAATATTAACAAAAACGTTGACTTCGGGAAATCAGTCTGATCAATATCTACTTAAAAATTATAATTAAATCATTCTGAGAGGTTGTAGTTATTTAACCTCTTGTTTCTTTTCTAGATCATGAAATTTAAAAAAAAATTAGAAATATAAACTAAGGACACTAGAAATTATAAAAGTAGGGTAAATATTGTATAATATTGTGTTATTGCAGGAGATCACCAGTAGTTTGGATGGAGGTCTGCAGAAGTTGAACCATGCCTGTGAGATGTGTGATAGAGTCACACACCGGTCAACACCAGAGGGGAAGAAAAAACTGGAGGCACAGGTGAGCAATGGTCACTGTATTAATATTAAAATAAGACTAATTGGAAGAAATAAGAATAGACTAACTGGAAAAGGGATAGAGGAGTAGATTGTGGAATGTGTAACATATTGGAGATGGGTGGATAGACAGCTGACAGACAAACATATACAGAAAGGCACACAGACAGACAAACAGACAGACTGGCACAGTGACTGACAGACAGGTGGAAAGAGTTGACCAAAGGAAACCAAACATTTAAATTAATTACAATAAAGCCAAATATTCGAGGATAAAAAGAAACTAACAAAATATCACAAATGACAACATCTGCACCTGGTGGTGGTGGTGGTATTTGACAAGCATGCCATGGTGTTCTAGGTGGGCCTGTTGAAGGAACAGTGGGACAAACTAAACAAGAGCATTAACCAGTGCTGTAGTAAGCTAGAGAAGTGTCTAATCAAGTGGAACGAGTACGAGCAGTGCTATGGGGTGTTGGTGCACTGGATAGCTGAACTAGAAGATGGCCTCATGCTTGAGCCAGAACCAAAAGCTGATCTCAGCGAAAAGAAAGCTCAGCTGGAGAAATATAAGGTAGGTTGTGTGGAGTGGTGCATAACAAGGTGTACCTTATAAAATATGTCCATATGCAGTGTATAGCTAAATATGTGCTTTTAAAGGCTGAATATGTACACCATTGGTCATAATACAGATGCTCAGTGTTTGTGCATTATTTTTACCTGAAGATTATTTACTTATCGACTTGTTCCCAGAGGATAGACTTATAGTGACCAGAAGTTCCTTTATTGCTCTTTGCTTGTTGTTTTAATCTGACTCATACCAAATTTAGTTTGACACCTCAAATTTTTTGTTTGTTCAATAATCATATAAATTATAACCTTGGGAGCACTTTCTGTGTTTTTTGAAATTACCTCATCTTGTTTATCTAAGGGGACATTTATAGCAAACTTACTGTTTGTGAAAATGACATTTTTATAAAGATTAAAGATATCAGTTTCAGAATTAAACCTTAGACATGATAATCTAATTAATGCACTTAAAACTCAAGTGCCATTTTGTTGTCTTCAAAGGGAATGACTAAATCAGAAAGTTGAGACCGTTGATCCTGAGATAAAAAGTGGGTACCAGAGGCAATGACATCCAGGGTTAAAATTTCATGTTTGTCAAGAAAAACAGTGTCATATGGTTATACAATTTTAATTTACGACTCATTAGTCGATTGTGAAAGATCTTTGTGTTTCTGTGTGGTGGTCTCTCAAGAGAAAAGCTTTTTCTACCCGTACCTGAAATTACCTATGTATTGCATAACTTTGGAACAGGTGTAGGAAATTTGGTAACATTTCATCAAAGTGAATGCCTTTTTGTCGTGGGGATAGATTGGTGCCAAGGGAAGGGTTTAGGTGGTCTTTCTATTTGGTGCATTAAAAGATTTCATGTCTAATTAAAGAAGGATAAAACAGGTAAATGGGCTGTTGCTGCATGAGTTGTACTGCATGTTGTTTTTGGGTGTGCATGTTGATTTGTTTATTATTACATTTGGTAGGTCATTATATTGTTAAATAAATAATTGATTATAGTCTCATAGCTTCCTTTGCTTATTTGTGTGAAACTGACATGAAAATGATTTATGTAATATAAATTTTGGACAAAAACTGATTACACCATCCTATAAGTTTGACGTTTTTAACTCTTCTTTCCTGCCCATTTAAATAGACCAAAACTGTATTTTCCTCAACCACCGGTTTTTGAATGCATTATATTTCCAAAAGCTCCTACAAATACGAACCGAACCGGTTTTTCCTACCTATACAGTGGATGATAAACAAACTCTTTACTAAAATGCAAATAACTGCCTATGAACAAGTGACCTGACCCTTCTCACCTTTTGTGACCCCCATATGGCGGAATAATTTACAAGGCAGCTGCAGCTAAGATTGGCTTGCAAAACATTACTGCCTGACCTGGGAGAGAGGATAAGATATAAAGAGAAAGTGGGCAGTTCAATGTTATCTGCATAGTGACAACAAGAAGAAAACATGTCTAAGTTTCTACTTTGAAGGTAGGCTGCTTCTGTGCATTATGTTGTGTGATGGCAGATCAAAAATGTGATGGAGATGTCTGAATACGGCTGGGATTGGAAGCGTAACTGTTGGCAGTGTAACGGCTGCTGGGCTAGGTATCAGATGCACATGGATTTCTGCCTTCCTGAAAGTTCTCATACTAGAATTTCATGCGTAATTTAATGTTAGCTTTACTGAAATATCAAGGTAATATAATTCATAATGGAGGATGGAGGGAAATTTTATTTCTATGACCTCAGGGGAAAACAGCAGGTAGTTTAGGTTGAAATACCCCAATAAGTGCATACAAGATGCCACACATGTTTTATAAGCTATTAATGTCTTTATTATCTATGACTGAGGGCAATATACACTAGGTGACATAAATCAACCGTGGATGGTCTCTATATGTATGTTTTATTTGGTAAATTGAAGAACTGCATGTGCAAATGTTACCATATGTTAAAAAGGCAGGGGATGAACAGAGCAATGTGTGCCTTGCTTCCTACATATGTGACATACACAAGTTTTATTTTATTTTTAGAGTGGGAGACTCATATAAAATACATAAAGCAATAAAATGAGAAAAAAGCATTTGTTAGCCTTAATGAAAAAGATTTTGTTTTGTGTTGTATATGTGCTCCATACCTCCTTTGAGTCCTACACACCATAAACAAATGTGTAAAAGATAATATGGATAATGAGGTAAATTTGCATTGTCCATAATTTATTGTATTTATATAGAAAGTATAAGTGGTCACACCTGTTGAAAATTGCTTCCTCTAAGATTTTGGTGTTTGTTTTACAAATCTGTCCACATTAATGCACCATTAGATATAATCATAAGTGAATAAGACGCATGATGGCATTCATCCTTACTTTGCAGTTTTTTTCCTTGTGACTCCAGTGCTGTATTACCTAATAGTGCATGTTACGTAGGAGAAATGATGCAAAAAGGGGGGAAATCTGTAGATGAACAGTGGACTGGAAGAGTGAAGTAACATTCAAGTTCTGCTCCAGCAGTTTTATGGATGTGTAATCACGGGCAGGTGATATCTTTTTAGTTACTCCAGCAAGGTGTTTGACATTTAAACAGTTACAAAGAAAAATGTCGGCTGTCATTTGAGAATGTGTTTTATATGATTAAGGTGTCTGATGGCAAGGGCATATACTCTTTACCAACTATAAAGGAAATTTGGCTTGTCTGTTTATCTAACTGCCCTACCCCCCCCCCCCCCCCTCCTCACTGGGCCATAGAGGTGTTTACTTCATTGTCTCTTAGATATCTCCCAAACCTGGTACATAGACATTACAAATGTGAGATCATTCATTTTTCTGACCTTTGTCACAGAAAAAATACTTAACAATGAAAACTTGTAAATAATGCTACCTGCATTTACTTGCAATTGGCATATCGTACTAGTTGCAGGTCACAGGAAAGTTTTGCAGGGCTATGACACCCAGATTTGTTTAGAAGTATGATGTAACACTATAGTCATGATTGTCTATAAAAAGTGTGAGACCATATCATCAGTCAGTGTATGAAGTGGTGATAATTTGGCTCTACATTGCCCCATTTTCTCTACACATCTGATGTAACTAAAAATCACTGTGATGGAATTCAAGAGTTGTATTGAGCTTCAGTGGTACAAACAATAGAGATCAATTGAGAGCCAATATGTTACATATGTATCTTCTTCATAACTTCTCTTTTTTCATCCACTTAAAGCAGTATGGTTTTATCAGGGCGGGGATCTTATGTTTTTGATGTTTTCATGTCTAGTTTCCCCGCTTGCGAGCAGCTCCTATACAATATTACAGGTAAATGGCATTGAATATAGCATTAACTTCTGACCCCTCTGGTAAGTGACTTCCATACATAATGTCTAACCAGTCATTTGTGAGAATTATTAGTGGGGAACCAAGTCTATTGTTTGAGTTAGACAGCATTGTTTATTGCTTTTTTTATTATTTTGTGGACGTAAGAACTAGCTTTCATGGCTCTCTGCACCCCCTTTGAATACATTGTTGGAGTGGATCTAAATATGCTGTAATGTTAGCAGTGTGTGCATTCAGTTCATGTAATAGGAAACAAATGCAGCTTTCAGAAACCATTTGACTTATCAGGCAAAATAAAAGACCCTTGCTGCTGACTTTGCTTATTTTGGCTGGATTATATTACTGTTTTCTCACATGAAAGTTTTTACTTCTCAGGGCCTATTTTTCTGGTTGAGAAAAGAAAAAAGGTTGAACTTTTTTCGGAGACCAGGGGTTAATTGTCGCTTGGACATTTAAGACTATAGATCTTTAAATTTGCTGCATGGCATTTAATTCTTAAATTAAGGAAGTTGACATCCAAGTCTAGGCATCTTTAACCAGAGAGCACCCTAAGAGCCCAAACATCTACCAGGAATAAAGGCTATAATATTGTTCAAAAAAAGGGAGATATGGCACGGATCAAATTGTAATCACTTCTTTCCTTCCTGAACAATGTCATCAACTTTGTGAAAAGCTTTTTGAGATAACTTGCCCATATATTTACTCCTGAGATGCGATTTTCCCACTATCATCAGATTTTAACTTTTTGGGAGCCAGAAATAACATTGGCTTAGGCAGGCCCCCTGGACACAACACTATATTTTACAACTTTTTCACTAAATTTCAGTCTTATCCCTGCAGTAAGTAGATAAACCAACATCAATGAAAACATGACCTCTGTCACTGGTAAAGGTACTTGTAAAAGTAGCAGTTTGTGGTATTTTTACTCTAAGGGCGGCATGCCATCAGCACAGGGTTGTCCAGCAGTTGTGTTTATGTACAAACAAAGGTGTGGGGTTGATATGAAAATTGCCTAGCCAATGTAATCAGTGTACCTATTAAAATGAGCAGCTTTTCTTATTGATATTTTAGTATTGAAATATGAAATAACAGTTTGTTATGAAATAAAATGTGAGATCTGGTAATATGTGGGTTTTGTGCATAGATGCTGTGCAAAAATAAATTGGGGGGGGGAGGGGGGTTTTATAACAGACTGCATATAATCAAAATCTTGGAAAGGAGGTCACATTACTACTTAATTTTGCACCGCCTTTCTCAAAGGTCTGCAGAGGGCGGATAATTTATGACTAAATGCAATAAATATGACTTACAATACAAAATAGGGCAAGTGGAAGAGCATTGTGCTAACGTGTTCAATTAGTTTTTGAACAGGAAATCCTACTTTTTCTCGGCACCTTTTTTCATCACAGTACGAGTTGAAAAGTGGTGATACATTGTTGGATGGAAGCAGCTTTGTGGTGATATTTGTTTTGTAAAATCCAACCTGAACATTTTATTTGTATTATTCTTTTCAGAGCATTAAGGCAGACATAGAACGCCATGATCAAGACATTGGAGACCTAGCCAATTTGGTCTCAGAACTGGAAGCTATGAGTGGAAATCGTGAAATTGTGCGGTCCCTGGAGAAGATCCAGGCTCGCTATGACCACCTGCGAGACAAGGCAGAGGTGAGATGATAGGCAACAAACTGATTTATAACAAACTGTATGTTGTGTGTATTTCAACACAAAGTATTTTATATCAATTAACAATTGCATTAATTGCAGTTTGGCCATTTACACATCAAACTTGCCGGTACTAGTGAAATTTTAGATTCAATTCTCTGAAAACAGTCTAGTCATGTAATTGTTATTATTTTAATTCCATTATTTATTTTGAAGGCTAATAAAAAAGAAACTAGAAGTTAAGTGAATTGAAATTTTAAAAGACTAGTCCATCTCTCTCTCTATTGAATTAAAGATACAGCTGTTCTAAAAGGAACCAACTCAACAAAATTTTCGATTTTTTACACACTGTGTCTGTAGGGAGTTGTGGAGCACCTAGAGAAAGCCGAAAATGAGCACACCACCTACCAGCTGACCCTGCAGGAGTGTGAGCGCTGGATTCTGCAGACGTCCTTCCGCCTGATGTCCCACAACACTCTGAACACCAGTACTATGGAGCTGACACAACAGCAGATTGATAAGCACAAGGTGATGCATTGTCGTCATCAGTTTGCACTACTCTTGATTCATGTGATTAATGTCTGTTATAAATCAATATTGATATTGTTCTTGAGTTCATCTTTACAAAGCAAAATGCAAATGTAAATAAATCATGTTAAAGTAAGTTATTTTTTATCTTGAATAAACAACATTCTGCAGCAGTCGATTAAATTTTTTTCTTTTGAGAATGTATATTAAGTTTATTCAGTCACATAGTACCTGCTTATAGCTTATGCTTATGTTTTTTTTGCAGACGTTGATTGAAGAGATCTATGCCTATCAGTCCACTGTTGACAGAGTGACAGAGCAAGGAAGACAACTAATGGAGAAAAGCAAGAGTCAACCCCACCTGGTGTCACAGATAGAGCATCAGTTATCGAATCTCGAAGACAGTTATCTGTCTCTACAAGCAACGGCTCTACAAATTAAGGTAAAAAAAAGCATATTGTGGCTTATTTATTGCATTGGGAATGGAATGGTGTGAAGATTTTGCTTCGTTGATTGGGTCCCTTGTCAGTTATTTCATATATATGATTGAGGGTGATTTGGAAGGAATATTTTAGTGATGCTCACAATGTATAGCATGAGTAAAGCTTCGTTATCTGTTTAAAATGTTCCAACAGAAGTCTCAAATTTTTTCGAACCAACATTTATTCTCTTGAATATTGTGACCTTGTTTTTTTTACTAATGAGATTTATTTTTACCTTTTGAAAACCTTCCCGTGAACAAATATGTTCTGTTTAATTTGGTTTATTATCTGTTTTCTTAATTAACTATCATCATCACTGATTTCATCACTGAATAATTAGTCACAAATCATTGTTTTCTATCTAGTTATCATATAACTCTCTGATCGTCTGCTCTTTTTCTCTCCTAATACTTGGTTTTTATTTTACTGCCCACAGGTTATTTTGGATTACCATGAACTGTTAAAGTATTAGTAAGATATACTGATCCGTAAGACTGTTGATAATAAAATTAATAACAATGTTCCATGTAGTGGCCTACACAGCTGTAATCGCTCATTGCACTAACTCTTACTGCACATACAAAAAAAAAAAAAAAAAAAAAACTTTTCTATATTGTTTAAAGCTATATTTTTTGTTTCTTTAGTTTATTAGTAGAATTGTTATATTCAGATACAGGGGGGAAAGTAAAAGTGGAAGATATGTTAAATTAATCGAGAAACCTAGTCATCTGTATTTTCAGTCTATAATTTATTGTTATTTATGAAAATATTTAAAATGAGTTTTTTAATTCTTGTTTTCCATTTAAGATGATGGTATGCAGATTTCAATTTATGAAGTACAATCAAGTATCTTATCATTTTAGTTAAGTTATTAAGCTCACATGAGATATTTGAAGAGCCAAGTAATGAACCAAGTAATTGCCTGAACTGTCAAAGACGCCCTCATACAAAAATGTTGTATCTGTGAACCTGCTTTTTAAAGAATAATAAAGCCATGTTATCATCATTGTTAATGCTGAAGCTACATGTAGTTTTGTGCGCATCACTAAGATATGACAACATAATAAAGAGTTTTGTTTTTATTTTGAGACCATACTCAAGCACCGTATTTGTTTCTGTTTGCAGTCCTCTCACAGTAATCTGATCTAACTATGCATGGCAGTTGTTGTGAAAATTTTTGCATGTCAGTTTCATCTTTGAAAAAAAAAAAAGCTTGAGAACCTCTTTATGACTTAAATGCCTCTTATCTTTACGGTTTTATGGGAAGGGCAAATGGCCTATTTCTTTCAGTTTATAAAACGAAATCAGTTGTGCTTTAACAGCATGTCTTATTACTCACAGGTTCTCTAGCTATACGTTGTTATCAACAGAAACTGACATTTGTAAAGCATGCTTAGATTAGATTTTTTGTGAGTTTTGCAAACATTAAAGGTAAAGCTTGAGCAATTAAAAAAGAAAGCCACTTATGGAAAATCTCTCTATCATGGAGAGTAGACTTCTCTCTCAGGTTTGTAACATTTTCTGGAGCATGTGTTGAATTTTAGTCACATGAAATTTCAATATTTCAATATTATGTATCAGTTAATTATAGTAAAACCGTGTAGTTAAACCGTGAATATCTTTCACAGATACATCTTTTGAAATTATTCTTTTCAAAGGTAGTTTTCATTTAAAAAAGTCTTTATTTGATGAATACATGAAGCCTCACATCTATTTTTACACATCTACACACTTAATCTCTAGAAATTATTTACTTCTTTTCCATTTGAAATCTTGTTGACATCATAGTTGATTCAATTTCATGACCTTGTAGGAGCGTTTGGGCGACCTGTTACAAAGATGGCAGCAGTATAAGCAGCTGTTGGTGGACTGTGAGAACTACCTTAAGTACGACCACGTCACCTGGCTGGAAGACAAGTCGCAGCTCTGTGCTGACAACTATCAGGATGCCTTTGATAAACTGAAGAATGCTAGGGTGAGTGAGGCTCTAGAAGCTGGTAAAATTAAAAAAAAAACTTTTAATTTGTAATTTGTTGAAACTTTCTGAAAAAAGTTTTTTTTAGATGTTGAGATAAGTTGGTTGAATGATCAATCTTTCTAGGCCCAGGAATTATTTCAGTTTGGCATATTAAGCCTAATTAAGAAAAAGACAATAAAGAATATTGCCCGATTTCAGAGGAGCTTTGACTAACAACAGATACACTTATAAACATGATTAAAGTATTCTTTTCAAAGTAGTAAATTAAATTTTTTCTTTAAAGAGCATTTTATCAGCTCAAACAAATTTTCACTTTCAGAAAATCTATGACCAGTTGACCACCTACCAGAGGACCATTGCCTCAGAAGCACACAAGTGTGAGAATGTGGGCAGTATGGAGAGTCTTGACCAACTGGACTCTGTCCTGGACTCTGAGGTCACTCAGCTAGCAGAAAAGGTCAATGATGACATTGGAAACGGCCTAGAAAAGGTATGCTAAATAATACTGCAGGCATTAGAAGTAGAAGTCTTTTATTTGACTGTGACTATGCACGGGTATCTCACAGGTTTAATGCAGAGTAAGTTTGCAAATTATGATAATGGGAATACACACGGAAGATATCAATTTCTTAAATAGTTAATGGGAGAAAAAAATATTTTACAATTATTTTTGCTATTTTTCCAGACTAAAGATCGCATTCAGGAAATTAATGCAATGATCAGAAACTGGGAAGAATTGGAGAAGGAGAAGTCAGACTTAGCAGACTGGATATATCACAAGCATGAAGATGTCATAGCCATGATGGACAGACATGCCAAACTACATGTTGATGCTGCAGAGATTGAGATAAAGCATGCCAAGGTTAATTGATACAAAGTTAAAAAAAAAAACTTTGATATAATGTTATAAAATTCAATTTCTCTAAAGTTCACCATTTATGCCATTTGTCTACATATACCAATCCAAAGTATCAATTTAGTACTAACAAGGACTTTTCTATGGATTTTACATCGATTAAAATAATTCGACCTATTTGTATTTCAGGAACTGGAGAAAGAGATCCTTCAGAGTGAAAAGCAGCTTGAAGGCCTCTGGCAGCGCTATTTTGACCTGACTGCGGACAGCGAAGCTGACACGGACCCTGCATACCTGAAACTACGCCACAATTGGCAAAATATGAGGGACGAGATTGAGCACTTCTTGGTCAATAGGGAAGATTTCTTGGACACTTGTCGAGACTATCACAGCCGCCATAGCACCTTAGATGCCACCCTGGAACAGTACGCCCGCGAACTTGAGCGTATCGAACAAGATGGCAATGCAACCATTAGTGAGAGGGCTGAGTGGTTAAAGGTATGTATTTTGTATGTCTTTTTGAGTGAATTTGATGAAGAGTAACCATTTTTGCTGTGGTTTAAATGACCCTTTTTCACCAAGTAACATGTAGAAATCACAAAATTTAGTGATGTTTTGAATCGAAAGTTTTGCACCTGTGTGAAAACTAATATGGTAATTGCAGTAAGTGTCTTTAATAAACAAGTGTTTTGCATAGTTAACCAAGCCAGAATGGTTGCTCACTTTGTTATTTTAAATAAATAAAAATTATAGATGTGTAGTGATTACTATACATTGATTTGTAGTATTATAGTATCTGTTTATTCCATCTTTAAAGAGGCTCGATAGAAATTATCTGTGTCAGTCTTGAAATAGATTGTATATTGAAATCAATCCCTTGCTCCCCTGCTAAAACAGTGCTCAAACAGTTAGTGATTCAGTGATAACTATATTTGTAATTATCACATTATGAAATGCACACACCTTGACTTTGTTAATTCCATGGAATTATTCCCAGTTTGATTCAGCCAGACAACTCAGTTAATTTTCCCAATATGAAGGTGCTGGGAAGTAACTTGTATTGTTAATCAATTATAATTGGAAAATTTATTTTAGAAAATCACTGTCTTTCATTTTATATTGTAAGAGGGAATCTTCCTAGCAATCAAGTTTAAAGATGTATTAAAATATACCAAATAAGGCTGTTTCAGTAAACTTAGTTGGGCACTGGAAAAGTTTTATCTGCAGTATTAAATGTAGTTTACTAAATGTATGTTTAGGAAATGCCAGTGACATGACTATTTAGCTGTACCCATCTTTTATTCTGTTTACAAGCTGTAAAATGGCTGTTTGTATAGTGTAACTATTAGCTTGTGCCAATACTTTTAGTTCCATGATAGGTTATTGTAGGTTAAGGCTAGAAAGAGGACAAATATCTGTTTTGAATTTTTTTAGAATTTCTGTTCTACATAGAAATAGCTATAGCTGGTATATTATTACAACATAGTGGGACCTAGCTAAGAAAGAAGAATATAATACATGTCCTTGCAGTTACTTTATAAGATCAGCAAACACATTCACAGTTGTTAGTTTTGCTAGAGTAGAATATTGCAATATAATACTGGATGAGACACTCACTTTCTTGAAAGCCTGGTGGGGTTTTGATGGATTTATATATTTGCTACACATAAATGCCTCTAAATATTGAGAACATCTGGCAAATAATGCAGTATTTCCTCATTCTAGCATTGAAGTAGGTGTTGTTAATTTGTGAGGTATAATTTCGGATATTTTAATCTTGTTCTCCGTTTTATGAGTGCAGTATTGGAAGGTTAAATGTGGAAAAATGGGGTCTGCAAATGAATAATTACCCATATTGCCAAGCCTGTTATTGGCAGTGAATATTCTCAAAATGTCAATCCTTCTGTGATTGATGTTTTCTGTCAGTGATATTCAAAATGAAAGAAAAAACATTTGATTCATGTGTACATGGGCACCATAAATGCAAAATCCTCGTACATTGTGCAAAATTGAATAACCCTTGTGATACATAAAATAAATGCAAACTGATAATAACTACATGTGCTTGTAACCCAACCTAACACCTAACCTATGGTAACCCTGCTGCTCACTAACCTTCAATAGAGTTCCTATATAGCTGCATTCAGAACAGTGGACTAACTAGTCCCAGGGTCAAATATGGCCGACCCACTTGAATACTTTCCAAGGGGGAATCTATTAGTGGATTAGACAGCAAGCTTTTTAGTGGGTCACCATATTTGACCTGTGGACTAGTTAGTCCACTGTTCTGAATGCGGCTTATAGCTCATCAGCTGGCTTATGTGAACTGTCCTGTGTTTCACCTGGTCCTTGTTGTGGATTGATGTGTGCTTAAAGCTTTATTCCTGATGGAAGCTCCTTATAGAAGTTGTAGAGGTGAGTTGATCATGTGTTTTTGAAGGCTTGTTTATTTTGATTTTATTTATTATTATAATTTTTTTTTTGTCAACGTGGTTTAATACTACAGATCCATGAAAGGATACTCAATATGAATTTGATATATGTTTGGTATTTTATTGAAAAATCTTTTTGTTTTAAAAAATTCAAGTACTCTTAATTTTTTTTCTTTGAATTACATCAGTAAGTTGCTAAAGAGAATGAAAGGATTTCATTAATAATACTTTTTTCGCTCAGTTATTTTATGCAGAAGTAGACAAGTAAACTAGCTGGGACTCCTTTCATGGATGTGGCAATATTGCTGAAATATTAAAGCTTTAATCCTCTAACAGTGAATGATCAAAACTAACAGTGATATATAATTTGAGTTTTATTTACGAATATGTTTTGTTTTCAACTTTTGTTTACTTTGTTTGCTTAATTTTAATTTATGGTTTATTTTGTTGCAATTTATTATTTGGATGTAACAAGCTGCTGGCGGGGTTAATGAAAAAATCTTGATAAATAAGTAGATTTCTTCATTGTCATATTCCTTAAAGAAACTTTTTAAAAACTTACAAAAATAGATTTTACATTGGTATGATTTTACTTGTATGCATTTCTAGTATTGGGTTTAATTTAGTCAATCTTTTTAAATTATAGATCAAAAATATTTAAACTCTTTATATTAACAAAGTAGTGCATTCTCAGGTTCTCATTGTTGTGTTAGCATGTAGCTCCTGCAGATGAAATAGCCAAAAAAAATGAAATTGTTTTTGAAAAATTGCATGAGTAGAAATTGATTTCTGTTTTGTAACAGTGGTGTTAGTGGGTAAAGCAGCAATTTAGTGGTTTTGTATTGCATGTCCCTTATCCTAACAGCTTTTGCCCATTTTTGCTGTGCTTGTTTTCCTGGTTGAATTTTTCCTTGTTGAGTGGCTTGCTTTTGACCTCTAACACTAATCACATCTTCATGAAGTCAATGGAACTTTCATCACAGATGGCAAATGTCACACTTGTATATTTTACACACATTTATACACCACAAGCTTCATATTTCACCACTTTTCCACATTATTTCACATCGCCTTCTTTATCATATGTATATCTCCAATCTGGATTGGAATAAGTCATGAGCATTTAACTAAATTATGATAAATATACAATTTTGTGTTGAAAATAGGAATTGCAAGATACACTAAAATCAATAATTGCATGGCAAGAAAACTGATGTTACAAAAGTAGACCATTGAGTAAAATATTTTCAAATCTGTCTTATTTTTCTTCATCAAATCAACGGAACTTTCAGCACAATTTGCAAATATCATACCTATATATATTTTATACACAACAAGTGAATATTGTCACTTTTCCACATTATTTCAAGTTGTCTTCTGTATTATATGTATGTTTCCAATCTTGACTGAATCATGAACATTGAACTATAAAATAATAATTATACATTTTTTTGATAAAAATGGTAACTGCAAGTTACACCAAAATAAATAATTGCATGGCAAAAAAATATTAAACTGTTGTTACAAAAATAGACCATTGACAAAAAAATTCTAATATGATTTTTTTGGTGGCATATGAATAACCATTATGTGCTAACTTCTAATTAAATGTTAAAATAGATTTCTTTAATATGTAACCACTTGTTGCATAATTTGCCAGTGATTTTATATTAATCATATTCTCCAGCTTCAGTTCAAGCTGCAAGCTGATGCTTTATATTGGCATGTTGCATATAATCAAGTCTTGAAATATGATTGTGAATATTGAGATGGTAGGCTAAAATTGTCTGTTACTTTCTGGTAGATCTTAGATTTAATTTTATAATTTTGTAAGTGTGATGAATATATTAGACAGCTTATCAAAATAGAGAAATAAGCAACTGTTTGGCTAATTTAATGATTTTTATGGAATGAAGTGAAATATGGTCTGATTGACATCTTATATCAGAGAATGATACATTGACTCACCATTAATACTCTTTGCCATGGCTGCTGCCTTCTCTTTTAAACTATTCCTTAAAACTACCACCCAAAGCTGTTTTACCCATGGAACATCCCCCATATTTGTATGGAGGTGTATGATCTACTCGACCTGCCTGGGCTGTAAAATACCTATAAAGGGCAAAATTCAGAGGGCAACTGCAGGAGCTTGCTGTGTGCAACAATGCCATTTCATGTTGTGTTAACACGTGGGTTGTTTGTATGTCTAGCCTGGTGCCATGGATAGTCATGAGTGTGGGACGCAAACCCTAGGTGAAGGCTACTCATCAAGGTCAAGAGGGATGGCAAGGTCACCATCAGGTGGCGCCACACCAAGACTGCCACAGAGTGGTAGACAAACACCCCAGTCTCGGTCCCATAGGACTCTAGCAAAGTGTAATGACACTGACACCAATAGCCCTAAAACAGGCCAGACCACCCCAGGGGACACCCAAAGTGGTACCAATACCCCCAGATCAAGATCTGGTAGGACCACTCCATGGCTTCATCCAAGTGATGCCAATTCCCCCAGGACAGGGTCTGGTCGCAGTACCCCCAGGGAGAGGAAGAAACTGTGGCCAGATGAGCTGGAGTATGAGAGTGATGAATCTGGACTGGGGGAGACTGTGTATACATTCCAGGGTTCTACCAGTGGCACCATGCCTGCATCACAGAATAGCTCTGCTATTCTAGATGGCAGTAGTAGTCCTGCTGTGGATAATCAAGAAGCACCACGGGATATTGAACAAATTAGTCAAGATACTTTAAGAAACTCAATGTTAAGACCTCTTCATTTTGGTCGGGGTACTTCACCTGTACATAGTGATTCTAGTCTTAGATTGCCAGGTCTTCACTATGGAACTCAAACAGACAACTCACTAGGTCCCCTACAGTCAACTATGATGGATAGGGCCAGTGAAACTGGAAATCAATTCAGAAATTTTGATCGAAACTCTCAAAGCTCAGAAGGTGAAGAGGACACCATAAGTGTAACTGCTTCTTGGACTACCTTGGACACCCAGGTTCCTGCTGCTACTAGGGATTTCTCAATGCAGACTATTAGAGATAGTGTGACACAAACCCCTGGCCATGCTGGTACACAGACCATGGTCATAGAACCTGAAAACACTTCTAGTCCAAGGCAAACGCATGACTTTTCAATGCAGACTGTGAGAAGTGGATCCACACAGACCCCAGGACACGTTGGCACACAAACACATTCCAGAAACTTCAGAAGCCAAGTGCCAAGTGGACCATTAGGGAATATGCCCCATGCACTTGGTACTGGAAGAAATTTGAAGGTACCAGGTACCTTGGATTCTTCAGGTCAGATATTAAGGAACAATACAATGCAGAGTACAGGATGTGCTGGAACACAAACTTCTGAGAAACCTCTGACACAGCTTTCACCACAGACCAGGAGACAGGAGAGAAGACCTTTTGGATTGCCTGTTGTTAGAGGAAGGGAAAGTCCCATGCAAATGGATGTTTTTCCATCTGCATCTTCAACAGTTTCCCAAGAAAACATTCCAGAAATGAGAGATTTTGGTGGTCAAACAATATCAAATCATTCCACTCAGACGCCAGACCATGCAGCTACACAGACTCCAAGCAGACATCATTGGAAGCATTTGAAGCAAAAGAAAGATAAAGATCCAAAAAAGTTAAAGAAAAAATCTAGTTCTAGGGAGTCTCTGCCCAAGACTAAGGCAATGAGGAATGATGAAGATCTCGATTTGGTTCCAACAAAATTGAATCGTGTCAATAGAAATTTAAAAGATAATCCAAAATTGAAGACTTTGGATGGAACTAAACCTAAGTATGCATTTGATAGTGATGTAGATACTCTTGTCTCTGTTAGACCATGGAGTATTTCAAGTCAGACGGAGAATATGGCAGCTGAGGCCACTGGTCAGACACCACTGCATACTAGCAGTCAAACTCAAACTCCTGTAAAAAGCAAACCAAAAAGGAAAGGCCGTGAAAGCCCCAGGAATAGTGCAATTAGAAACTTGATTGATGAAGTGAGGAAGATAAAGGATGATATGGATAACAGGGAAATGCCCATGGAGGTAGATGCACCTTCAAATAAACCTGATCCACGAAGGCACCATAGGAGTCATAGTGCCAGGGAACCCATACTATCGCTCAGAAAACCTGTGAGTGCACTGGATTCTTCAGCACAACAAAATGATAGGCACTACAGGAGTTTAAGTGATAGACTGGAAGGCAGGTATCCGCTGTTGCCAGACAGGACAAGAAATAGAATTGGATCCCAACAGAGCGACTCGTTCAGATATGAAGAACCTTCACCAAGGCAGCAGAGAAGAGAACAAGCACCCAACTATCCAACAGGCCAACACGCTCTTAGAGTACCAAGAAGTCCCTGGTTGCCACCTGATAGGCAAGTCATTCCCAGGCCCCAGTCTTCCATGCCTATGGCACCACCTAACTCTCCAAACATGATATTTGTCACCGAGCCCCCTGTACAGCTTGTCAACACACCACAACCACCACAAGCACCACCACCTCAACCCATTGTGTTAGCTGTGCCTGTCACAACCACTCCTGTCACATCCCAACGCACTCAAATCCCAGTGCCTGTCAACCCAGCCAGGTCTCCTCCATCTCCAAGAAGAGCCACACACAGGAAATTCACCAGAGAATATGGGTCAGCAGGACTATCTGATAAGAAAGAACATAAGAGTGCTAAACAAAAGGATAAAAAAGCCAAGCAGGATATGGATGTTGCTATTGCCAAAGCTACAAAAATGGCTAGAGATATGAAAGAGTCTTCTGAGACCATGAAAAGATCCCTTTTAAAGGATCTGATAGAAACATAAAAGTTCATTCAATTAAACGTATAGGACAGAATTGAAGTTGCATGTTGGATGAAATATTTTTCTCATATACCACCTAAGAAAGGGAGTCACTTTGTTCAGGAAATTTATATCCCACTGTAATTCATGAAAGTATTTTGCTACACTTTCCAGATCATGCATAATATTTTTAATTGTATATTGATTTGATAAATTTGTCAAATTTTCAGGGTAACAGTCATTTATACTTGAAAAAGCATATATGTGAAGCTTTTTTATATTAAAAGGGTAAACAATTTGAACTTTTCGCATAACATTTGTCCACCGATATTAAGTAATTGAAGTGCCTTCTGAAAATTTTGCTGATTATTTTGATTTGGTATTTTTCATTTAAAGTAGATGTTAGAAATATTATCAACCCAATATGATGTGATTTATATATTTGAAACTGCTTAGGCCAGAAAATTAAATGTATCCTATCATGCTAGTCTTTTAAAGGAGAAGAAATTAATGGTTTTGTGCTTTCTGTTCTTTGAGAATTTAAAATGGAATTATGTTAGATTTTACAATGGTTTCCATTTTTGTCAATATTTTCAAGCAGTATTACTATAAATTTTTTTGATAAAGAATTTGTTTGCTTTTTGTCTTGTATAGAGGTAAGCCAAGGTTTACCCTCACAAATAATACAAAAAGTATTTGATTTTGAACTAAAGTACATTCATGTATAAAAAAAAAACTTTATCGATTTGCAAAATGTAACCAATTTATGTGATTGATACATGATGTGAGGCCATAAACCTGCCACCTAAAATAAATACAATTATTGAAAAAAGGATATGATATTATGTTGCTGTGTTCAGTGTTTACATACCGAGTATTGGGTAATGAAAACCTTAAGAATGCGTCCATATATTGGTAATCAATTAGACCTACAATATTGACTCAGCCTTTCATCAAAGGCTGTTACACGGCAATAAATGCTTCTGAAAAGAAGGCAGATTTGATAACTTTCTCAAAATGGAGCATTCTCATGTCCTGCATATCTCTAAGTAATGGGGCTCAGAATTTTAACATGGTGTTATCATTAATCTACACCTTACAAGAAAATCCCACTTTTGATTCGTTGATATTGAGTGTACATTTGTTTACAGTGGTCAATAATTAACACAGGCTAAAGTGATTATAGTATAACTGAACTGTTTGCTTAAATTTTCAATGAGCTAGTAGACAGGCCATTGCAGTGCCATTCAATCAATTAGTTAGTGGCAGTTTGCAGTGCCAAGAGTTGGTGAAGTGTTCTACAGAAAAATAAGATTCCGAGATGAAAAATGGAGATGGAAATGATTGCAAATGGCAGGAATAATCTTAGAAAATCCATTAGGATAACAATCAAGTTCAGGGCATGCGTTAACTGAGGATAGGAAATTGAGAGAATAATGTGACACCTGAACTCAAACAGGACTAAGGGCATACATATTAAGCAATGCTGCATCATGTAAATCATTGTACTGCCCAGTGTCCAGTTACAACCATCACTGTTATTTAGGAACAATTTTGAAAAACCATACATGAACCAATGGTATAAATTAGACAGCAATATGATGCAAAAACTTGTTTATGCAGAGAAAAATTTGCAAATGAAATAGAGCTGCTTTAGTATGTGTTTGGACTCAGGGTTCAGGTAAAAAATGAGGGCATCATGGGTGCTTGTCTGTCGTGTAAAAATGAGCAGGGATCGCGACATGAGAAAACGTACACCACTCTTAGCTTCAGGAGAAAGAGAAAGGTAAGATGAAAGTTGTTTGCTGAGGCTGATCAATACTGAATTGTTCCAAGGGAACCTCTGATAGTGTGTTCTGAATGGGATATGCTTAAACCAGTGCATAATGGAGGTGATTAAGTTTTAGTAAATATTAATAATAACTTTGGATTACCAATCTCTGATGCTCTGAGCATGTTGTATTTTAACTGGTTGATTGAAACCAGTCTGTCATAATGGAAGCATTTCCCGTTTCACTATTTAAAAAAAAAAATAAAGAACAGATGCATAATTCTCTGAGTGAACCCCTATTAAATAATGTCAACTTTGTATATTGACATTGACTGCAGGTGAATTGCAAATTCACTGGACATTAAGTTCACTTTTGATGTCACTGACAGAAAATCAGAAAATGTAAGTGTTCGGTGTTAAGTATCAATTAAAACACATTATTTTGAACTTTCTATATCTATTCAGCACTGTCAGTGAAAAAGTATGTTTATGCATGTATAGAAATTGTGGAGCATATTTCAAGGCTGACACAGCATTCCATGAATGTTGACACTATGTGCTTACTCTGGAAGATAATTAGCAACAATTGCTTTGCTGTCTTATTGCATCTGGCACACCTAATGTCGTCCAATATCAGTAGTTATACACAAGAGTCTAGTATGTGGTTCGTGTATAAATGCATAAGTTTTGAGTTTGTAAAATTAGTAATACTAAAACAAGTTTTATATTTACATTTGTATGAAGTATAGGCTCTAAAATAGCAGAATACCACATATTGGAAAAATTGTTCAGTGGTGTTTTGGTTTTTTTAAAAACTTTTCACTAATGGGCCTTAAAAAAGTTTCATCTTTACATTTTTTTCATCCTTGATCTTATGTATTTCACAACTTTTCTCGGATGAATTGGTAACCAAAGGTCTTTTTCTAGTTTAATTAAAAAATTAAATGCAGTTGTATTGATCATGATCCCACTCTCACTTGTGAGGTTTTCCTAACACTCACATTAATATGAAGTTCTGAACAGTAACAATTCCTCTTATCATGTTTGACTTTATACACTGAAAAGTGAAACATTTTCAGCAGTTTCTCAGTTGCTAAATTTCCCCATTTCAGAAACTTGTATCAGACTTGGACAGTAAAGAGGAAGATGTGGCAGCATTTAGACAACTTGGTGGAAGAATTGCACCTAGAGTCAGTCCCCATGACAGAAACCTGGTGGACTATCAAGTCAGGTAAGCCAATTGATCTTCTCTCAACTGGTGGGGAGTCTGAAGGCCAGTTCAAAAAAAAAAAAAAAAAAAAAAGATGAGCTTTAAACTTTCAGGCTTAATTTTTAAACCAGGGTAATATGTTATTTTAAAAGTTAGTTATAAGGGGTGGTCTTTCAACTCTTGTCTCCTGGTGGTTATACTATTATATATATATATATATTTAGTCACAGTGAGTAGTAGTAAAAGTTTATATCAGTTCTCAGAGAATACTTTAATATTATTAAATATATTTGTATCAATATCATCAGGATGTTTAATGCTTAACTGTTAGTTCAAAAAACAGTACATTAATGAATTTTATTACTACAATCATAATATTACCCTCTGGTTATCAAAATACTAAATTCTCATGCTTAGCACTAAGTGAAGATATTTAAGATATGCTGAAATATGTTGCATGATTAGTAAGTCATTACCTGGAAGCCTTTTTAAGACAAGGAAGGCCATTGCATTGATTTGAGAATGCAAGTAAATAAGAAACATGACTGATTTTACAGAGATATAGAAGGTCGCTACAATGATTTACGCCAGCGTTCCAAACATCAGAAGCAGGCGTGTGAGGTGGTGATCATCAGCAGAGAGACGTTGTTGAAGGACTTGGATGGTTACGTGGCATGGCTGAAGGAGAGAAAGAAGATGGTGGGAAGTCAGCTATCTCTGGGACATGGGGTCCAAAATGTACAGCAGCAGTTGCACGAGCATAATGTAAGAAAGTTAGATAATTGCTTTCTAATAAAATGAAAAGTCAAAATCTGCCTGTTTTTACCTATATAAATATGATAGGTCAAAATATAATTTGAAATTCTTTCCTTTCCTGAAATACTTGTCAAAGCCTGACTCTCTCTGATTCTTACATTTTATTGCTGAGTATATTTATTTATATATTTCAAATCTGAAATCAGATTACATGCCTGTTTTTTCAACAGGCTAAATATTTTGAAAATGTACATGTTAGTTTCCTACTGGAGGAATACAAATTTAACAAAAGTATACACTGTTTGTGTCATCACAAGTCATACATAAACACATAAGCAAACTTAATGCATGGTTCAGAATTACAATTCATTACAATTTAAATTCATTTATCAGATCATCTGCAAAGAAATAGAGAGCAAACACACCGTGCTGGAGTCTGTTAGCAGACAAAGAGAGACACTGTTGTCTGAGCTCAGCCACCCAGAGAGGGAATCGGTTGACAAACAGATTCAGTCTGTTCAGAAAGAGCATAGCCAGCTTCACAACAATGCCCTCACAAAACAGAAGCTTCTCTCTAGGAGTCTGGAGCTCCGAGAGGAGTTCTACCAGAGCTACGAGAAAATAACAATCTGGGTTGTGGAAAAGGAGAGGATTGTTGGGAAAATTGACACCATAAGGCTGTATGCTGTGGAAGTGGAGAGGCAGCATGAAAAATACAAGGTTGGTGTAGATGTCCTAGAAATACTTTTAATTACTTGGGGCACATTCCCATAGATTTTAGATTGATCTATCCCCGTGGGGAGTCTCACTAGATTATTGTCAGATAATCTGGCTTAAATGTCCGTCCTGCCTACTACAAGCTGTAAGGGGGTAATTAACTTTCATTTAGCGTGAACCTCCAGGGAGTTAAGTCGATCTAGTTGGATCGATCTAATCTCTGGGAATGGGGTCTTAGTCCCCATTCCCTTACACACCATCCGACTACGTGGATTAACTCTGTGGCATTTCTTGCTGTGTGCCATCAACTTAATAATTTCTGTTGGCAAAATAATATTCACATTTTTGCCTGTGGTATTATTAGCATAATACTGATATTTTATAAATATAAATAATCTATAAATATAAAGACAAGATTCTCCATCTTTATGGTGTTTTTGCCCAGAGGCTCTTCAGGGGGCATATAAAGATTTCAAAATGTCACACATACATATTGAAATGATCTCATCTATTTCCACAGACTTTGCTGACAGAGGTTACTTCCATGGAGGGTACACTAGAGGAAGTGGTGACCCAGGGAAGAAATCTCCAGACTGACTGTGATGAGCAGGGGACTTCTGAGCTGGAGACAATGTTGAAGGGTCAGTTCTACTTTGATATTGAAAAAAAATCTTAAAATTTTCAATGAGAAAGGGGGACTCTTAGATTATTACATGTATCTTATGAGTTTGTAAGCAATTTCTCTTTAAAAGAGATTATATACACACATAATATGTATATGTTCTCTACAAATTAAAATCATCTGATGATTGGTGGAGTTTAAAAAGATAGTGGTATTCTGTACATGTTCTTGATGAAATATTATATTTTTCCAGAACTACTTGAAAGATATCAAATGATGAAAACACGCCTGTCTGAGCATGTCACCACTTTGAGGGAGAGCCTGACCATCAGGAGGAAATACGAGTCCAACATTCAGAGACTGGAACTATGGCTTAAGGAAGTAGAGCTTACCATCACTACTGAGATCAGACTGGACTGTACAATAGAGCTGATAGAGGAACAGCTCAAGAAATATCAGGTTTGTATTGATACAATATTGCTCTAACACTGCTCTAAAATCACTGTCTGAAAATTAAATGTGCCTAACAATTTTATGTAAAAGTACATGCAGCAGACTAAGTTTCTTTTCTGTAATGTCATTAAATGCCATGGGGTTATTGAAAGTGAAACAAAGAGCCATTAAAGGCAAACAGAGAGCCAGCAGTGCTGGTTTTGATCATGTAGAGGCAGTGGCAAAACCATGTTTGTAATGAACTTTGGTAGATCAAAGATATCAATTGATTGAGATTGAGTCTTGAGAACATTAGAATACATTTTCTCTCATTGGATAAATAGAATGCATTTCGAACCTTGCAAGTAAATTTCTTGTTTTTTTTACAGAGTTTGTTGCAGAAGATAGCTGAATATGAAGTTCTCAGTGATGAAGTGACCTCTCAAGGTCAGAGTTTCCTGGGGTCACTCAGCGAGGCGGACAAGCTGACTCTACAAGCACAGATTAAAACACTCAGGGATAGACATCAGAGGTAAGAACCGGCACCAGTAAGCAGTTGTAGAAGAAAAAAGAAATAACAACTTAATTCTAATAAGTTTATGAAGTGAACTTTATTTTTTGTTATGTATATTCATTCATTTCAAGAATTTAGACTTGAAAAGTAATGTTCTTTCAAATTTTTCCTTCTAAGGAATTATTTGTAATAACCACCAGGTTGTTACCAGCACCTGTAAGCAGTTGTAGTGGAAAAAAAGCAACTCAGTTCCAATAAGTTTATAATATGAACTTGGTTTTCTCACATGTATATTCATTCACTGCTGCAGGAAATTAAACTTGAGAAGTAATGTTCATTAAAATTTCTCCATCTAAGGATTCAGATTCTTTATTGACAAACACCTTCACATAAAGGTACAATCAATTACAATACGATACTAGTGGCTAGAACATAGAACAGACAAATAAATAGATAAATAAATATATATATATACACATATAGATTAGCAATTGTTGAAATCAGTGACTGTACACATGTATACGAATGTCGCATTCCATAATCAATTTACCAGGTTTGATCTACACGCCCAGTCTCTGCTGACAGCGCATAACGGGTCTCACACTGGTACTATGATCTGGTTTGGACATGCGCAGAAAGACTTACTCTCTTCTCCATGCATTTCTGTACAANGGTGGTCTGTCACACCTTTCCAGGAGGTTATTCATGCTAGACTTAAGGATTAAAGGGGCCCATATTTCACAGCCGTAGCTAAGTATAGGGAGTATAAGCGTGGAAAAAAGTTTACGGGCAATTGACGCTGGGCTAGAAAACAGCTGGTGGCGGATTTTAAAAAATGCTTTTTGTGCTTTGACTTTCAGTACTTCCATCGCTTTATTGAATTTTCCTGAAGGTGTGAATACCAAACCCAAGTAGCAATATTCTGAGCATATTTCTATTTTTTCGGCTCCTAGAAAGAAGGTTAGGTTATTCAGTAAGCGGCCAGGTTTGTTAAAAATCATAATTTTTGTTTTTTGGACATTTACTATCAGCTTCCAGGTTTTACAGTATTCCGCCAAACTATTGAGGGCAGCCTGCAGCCTGAAGTCCATCCGGGCTCTCTGATACTAGTGCGAGGTCATCCGCGTACATTAAACAACTAAGAGGTTTATCCCTAAGGTGAACAGGGTTGTATTTTTCATTGTTGCTGAACAGGTCGGGAATGTCCCTAATAAAAATGTTAAACAGTAAGGGACTGAGGACGCAGCCCTGTTTGACACCTACACTTGTATTGATGACGTTTGTCAGTCCCCCTGGTGTTTTTACAGTAAACTGGACAGATTTATACATATTACTTATTATATTTAGAAAGAGATTTCCTACCCCTGCCAGCTGTAGTTTATATAATAAGGCATTTCTCCATACTGTATCGTAGGCGCTTGAAAAATCTACGAAACATACATATAGTTTATTTTTATCCATTTTATTTAGGTATTTATCGATGAGAGATTTGAGTACTAGCATATGGTCGACTGTACGTGCCCCTCTTTTAAAGCCGATTTGATTAGTAGGGATCGTGCTATTTTTAAAAGTAAATGATGTGAGTCTATTATTAAGTATTTTGCAAAATAGTTTACATAAGTTACTGGATACAGCTATCCCTCTATAATTTTTGGGGTCTTTTTTATCCCCTTTCTTGTGAATAACATTGAGCATACTCACTCTCCAGAGGGAGGGGAAGTTACCACTGGAGAAGATAGCATTGAACAGTTTAGTGATGGCTGGGGCAAGTGAGTCTATGCCCTCTCTAAGCATTTCATTTGGGATACCATCGATACCAGGGGACTTATTCTTTTTAAGACTACGAGCAGCTAGTTTTACTTCATGTTCAGTTATGGTAAAGTCAAGTTCGGTGAACAAGTTATGCTTAGGGTTTTGTGCTCTCTGGTTAACCAGGGTTTCAAAATTTATATTGTTGTGGGGCAGTGTCCTATTCATCAGGGTGTGGAAATGGACCCACCATTCGGTGGGGGAAACTGGGGTTTCTGTTGATTTAACTTTATCTTGTAGTTGGTTATATAGATCCCAGAATGCACGAGGGTTGCTTGTTTGCAGATTTTCTAGTGACCGAAAAATGCTGTCCCTAAACTTGTTCCGCTTTCTGTTTAGCAGTTTCTTGTATAATTTTTTCTTTTTGTTAATTTCTATTAGAAGATTTTCTTTACAGGGGTTATGTTTTACTGAACGTGCCTTCCTTTTAATGTCTCGAAATAGTTCCCTACAATCATTATCGTACCAGTGCTTACTTGTCTTTTTACCTCTTTTCTTTTTACTGGGGATTTTCTTATGTAGACCTGCTTCCCTACCTAGTTCGTCTAGGGTTTTATTAAAATCAGACAGTCTAAGGTCAACCCCTTCCATTGACGGATCATAGTGTTTATCTATAAAGGCTTTGAGAGTACCTGTTGACTGTTTTTGGGCCAGGTGGGTTTTCCAGCGCTCTGATGCCTTATTTGTCCAGTGGAATCTGGCTGGGGGGCATGTAAGGTCATCGTTATCGGCCAAGACATCCGGGTAAGAACACACCTGGGTGTTTAGGGTGCATGAGATCAGACAATGGATGGAGAAGGGAGTAAGCTCATGAACTAAGGAACTACATGTATTCTCTTGAACATAATGTAAAGACGTCAACAAAAATAGAAATGTATTTGAATACAATGGGTTCACATCTACACTGATCTAT